TGTGTCTTTATATATATTTTGTCCAAAAACTATGCGTGAATTGGCCATTGTAGGTTTAAAAAAGCAAATTTCGACATGTTTATTACGTCTTAGTGATACCACAAGTAATTTTTCTGCACTAAATTGACCAGATTATACTAACCTATTCATTTATCAATAACATAATGTTTTTGAAGGCTTGCTTAATTTGACTATTTTTGCAATTTCAAGGGCCAAGTAGGTTCTTATCATACCTTCTCTTTTATCGATTGTGTACATTTCCATATTGTGATATTTTGAACGAAAGAGTTCGTCTTGTTTTGTTTCATAAAAAAGAATGGCCAACGTAGAAACAAGTATCTTGTCTTAGGGAGGGATAAATCGTGCTTTGTAAAAAAAAAACCACTCTGATTCAAACAAAATATTCTCTGAAATTGACATCATCAAGATAATTGATTTCTTGATTGACAACAAATTTGTTGTGTTTGAAGGACGTGTTTTTTAAACAAACAATCGTCATTCCCATAGGAACCAACTGTGTTCTCATCTTCCCGACTTGTTCCTTTGTTCATACGAGGCTGACTGCATACAGGAACTTCTTAGGAAGAAAGAAAAACGTTAGCAGTACCCTTTAACTTCACTTCCCGCTATAAAGATGATGTTCTCTCACTGAATAATTCAAAATTGGTGACTATGTTGAACGCATCTATCCCATCAAACTTGAGGGAAAGGATACAACAGATACAGTTAAGTCTGCCTCATATCTTGACTTTCTTCTAGAAATTGACAATGAAGGTCGGTTTAAAACAAAATATTACGACAATAGAGTTCAGCTTCCAATTGTGAATATTCCAGCAGTGACTGCATTCGGAGTACATATCTCCCAGTTGGTACGATATTTTAGGGCTTGTATTTCCTATTATGATTTCCTTGATAGAGAGTTGCTGCTCACATAGAAGCTTACAAACCAAGAGTTCCAAGTTGTGAAGTTGAAATCATCCCATCGTAAATTCTACTGACACCATCACTAGTTGGTTGACCGGTTTGAAATATCCGTTCCACAAATGACAACGGATGTGTTCCAATTGTCGCAACTACAATTCCACCCCCTTTTCCCCGAATGTAACCTACATAATTTGACTTATCACCGGGTTTGTACTAACATGAGCAACACGACATAGTTTTCTATGTTGTGTTTTGTGCACTGTTGTTTGTTTGTTGGTCTTTTTCGTTTTTAGCCATGGCGTTGTCAGTAAAATTTTGACTTATGAGTTTGAATGTCCCTTTTGCCTCTCTTTTTGAACGAATGTGTTCTTTTTAATTTTTTTATGTTGATATGCATATAAAAATATTAGTTTACGAGTTTATAACATCGGTATACTAATATTCCTGTTACTTTTACCAATCAGTAATAATCTGTCATGTACAAAATTAAAATAACAATTGCGTTTGAATCGCTTTTCTGGATCGACCTTCAACCGAAACCAAATACTTGAAAGCCAAGGACGAATAAGTATCGAAACATGTGAAGATCTAAATGACCAAGAGGGACATATAAATTGGCGCCAAATACTCATAACGCCAACATTCCCTTTATCGACCCAGAGCTATGAAAAATGAAAATAACACTTAACATGCGTGCAAAGCGCTTTTTTGGATTTTTAGTCATCAGGAACGCTCACAGCAAACATATTTGAAGCGTGCAAAGCACTTTTTTTGATTTTCGGTCACCAGGAACGCTCACAGCAAAAATATTTGAATGCCTAAGATGTATAAGTACCGAAACATGTGAAAAGCTATAAAACCAAAAGGGACCTCAAATTACATGTAAGGTCAGTTTTGTCTGAGGAAGTTAGAAAAGAGGGACGAAAGATACCAGAGGGACGGTCAAACTTATAGATCGAAAACAAACTGACAACGCCATGGCCTAAAATAAAAAGACAAATAGACAAATAATAGTACAGATGACACAACATAGAAAACTAAAGACTAAGCAACACGAACCCAACCAAAAAATGGGGGTGATCTCAGGTGCTCTGGAAGGGTAAGCAGGTCCTGCTCAGGAAGGGTAAGCAGGTCCTGCTCCACATATGGCACCCGTCGTGTTGCTTATGTTATTACAAATCCGGTAAATAGTCTAATTCGGTAGGTCACATTCGTGAAAAGGGAAGGGTATTGTAGTTACGACATAAGGAACATATCCGATATCATCTGTGAAAAAGTTATTCCATAACGGTCAACCAACGCGTGATGGCGTCCATAAAATTTACGAAGGGATGATTTCAACTTCACCATTTGGAACTCTTGGTTTAATAGCTTCCTTGTGAGCAGTAATCCTCTATCAAGGAAATCATGATAGGAAATAATTGTGAAGCTGAAATCATCTCTTTTGTCGTAAAGTTTTGTTTTCAACCGACCCTCATTGTCAATTTCTAGATGTAAGTCAAGATATGAGGCAGACTTAACTGTATCTGTAGTATTCTTTATCTCTAGTTCGATGGGATAGATTCGTTCAACATAGTCACCAAATTTTGTATTATTTAGTGAGAGAACATCATCTATATAGCGGAACGTAAAGTTAAAGGATATTGCTAACTTCTTATCTTTCTTCCTAAGAACCTTAGTTTCTTGATAATTTCTTAATTTATTAACAAATATTTCAGAATGAAATGCTACCTGTTATCATTTCCGAAGTCTGGGTTTGGCATGTGAAGAATTCCCGGTTGCTTGAGCTCGGAGATTTTAAATGGACAAATTGTTTCAATATTTTGAATTTCGGCTGTTTATTCACATATGGAAAATAAATGCAAATTAATCAAACGATCGTATAACATAGGAATTGAAACGATTTTTTTTCGGAAACCACACGTTGTTAATAATTCAAGTATTCATTTACGTCGACTTGTCTATCTTGTTAGGTACAGATCATAAGATCTTTTTATTAGATAATCCTTTAACACGAGAAAATGTTATTGAAAATTAAACAACTCTTTTTGTTGGTTTAAAACGGATAATAACCCCATACATAAATTGCACATAAACATAACACGTTGTGATCGTTTCAATATTATAAATTACGTTTTCAGCTGAAATTATGCTAGAAATTTGTATTGTGTTTGTATTAATTTGAGTTTTTATTGTTCAATACAGGGGCCCACAAACTCAATTAAAGTTAAACGATGCTTAAATGTTAAGTGTCAATTAAATTTTGAAGATATTCACTAGTTTTAAGTTACATTTAAAAGTGAGATATCGTTTCTTTAATTGATGTTTGTGCAACCTAGCCAAGGCTTTAATCATAAAGCCAATGACATGTTGGTATTTTTGACGTGTGTACATATCTTTATAATTTCTTTTTAAAAGATATGTGAAAGCCCTTCCACATTGAAAAAGTTATTCATGGCCATTTCAATAAGATTCAAAATTATTCCATTTATTTGATTTTGTAACAAAAAATGAGTAATACTATTTAAATTAGCTTTGTGCACGGACCTTGTCTTTTTTTAAAACTTAACACCTGCCTCGTGTTAAACATGGTAATAACACTTCAGCTATATCACAATGAAAAAATTTAGATAAATAGAAGTCCTGAGACATGACAACAAAATAATGTAGATTTTGCCCAGTAAATTTACGCATGTGCATTGTTTGCAAATACCAAAAATAAATCATCGTATCAGCTGATTCACTGCCTGGTATCCTTAGGATATCAAAAGACATTCAAATATTCAGAACACTGTTTTTTACACACCATGTCTTTGTCTCCTAGATCTTCAGTCCGACACGCCTAATAAGAACAATTTCTACTATTAGAGTAATATAAGATGAAGACTTGAACGTACTAATTTCTCCATCTACTCCTACAAACGTTTGAGAGTGCTGGAACTTTTCCCCGTCATTCTCAATACATGTCATTTTCAGTCAAGCCGTTGATAATTCAAACAATTATTTCCGATTTTTGTGTTAGTTAAAGTGACGGATTAAGAACTCCCAGTACTTCGGGACCAGAATAAACTGGTACAAATGACAAGATTTCAAATATTCAGGGTTTACTCTTTCCTGATAGTAACGCACAAGGTATATGATGACCTAGAATTTTGATAGGGTGTTTATATTTAAAAAAAAAAAACCCTTGAACTGTTACTCTTTTATGGCAATAACTCAAAATTTTATAGCTATATTATGACTTTTTTTATACTAACAGAGTGTTACTCTTTTAAATATATATATTCCCTTGTCAGACGACAACCCGATCTCAACAAAAAGTAAAATCACAAAAACACTGAACATCGAGGAAAATTAAAAAAGGAAAGTCCCTAATCAAATGGCAAAATCAAAAGCTCAAACAATCCATCGTTGCCAATAAAAGGATTCTGTTGTTCTTTGTATTACATGGAAAGAATGTATTATTGAACGGTTTATATAACCTTTGCTTCGGAAACATTATTCACAGTGTTTGATTATATTTTTACTGTCATTCGTGACATTTAATGATTGATCGAAAAGGTTTAGGAGAAGACATGACCTTATCGTTTTCGGCAAACATGATTATAGTGTAAATCGTTAGGATCCAAGTGAATTTTTCACTGCCTTATTGATGGCGTTGACCTACGGTCTTAATTTATCTATTATACTCTGTATTAAGCAATTGAAAACTTTCCGCCTTTTAATCAATTTGAGTTTGGTTCTTGCAATAATGAACTATCCACAATTTATGTTTGATTATGGCATACCCCTTGTTGCAAGATCGGAAACATTTCTATTCGTTGAAATGTACTTCCATTGTTCTAGCATGTATATTTATCAGTTTGCACATATGCTAAAACTTATAAGATACGGTATATGTACAACGTGTTTTATTATGTCTTTAATCCATTGATATAAAAAACAAGCATTTGTATATATATAATGTTTACAAATATAAAAGCTTGATATCGGCTTGGCTTGGTGGGCATGGGTGCATGCTGTGGGAGAGATGGTAAATAGAAAAAAATCACATGCACCAAAATTTCGTTTTTCAGGAAAAGCCAAAGCTGTGAATAATTTGAATGAACTTGAACAGCTTCTAAAAGAACGAAAATATGTAAGTACTTTATGTTCAATAATATCATGGAGTAAATGCAGTACAGTATAACTGATTAAACATATATAAAAATCTGTCTGGACTCACCATTTTCAAAACTGATGAGTCCAAAAATGCATCAATATTGAAATATTTTATATAAACTGAACACACATATCATGATTTTATAGCAAAAGTTTAAAAGTAATCTAAATTTAGTGTCATTTCATTGCTCTATTAGGTCATGGAGACTAAAATAATAAATTATATTGCAATAAAATATCTTCTTCTTACTGTTGGACTCACCATGGCCAAAAAATGACGAGTCCCTGGACTCGCCATCAAAAATCCTTAGTGAGAACCCTGATACAACACAATTTGTAATCAGATAATACATTTACAAGACAAAAAAACTGATTGAAAGAATATTTAAGTACGAGATACCAAAACATTTCTAGCCATCAAAGCTTATAATGCAAGTCAATACAGCAATCAAATGTAACAGCTGCTAGACAGCAGACATATGAAGAGTAAATGCAAGAACAAGACAGCAATCAAATGCAAGTTTTGTTAGTTGGCAGAACATGTGACGAGAAGATGCATATTATAGTGCCTATTATAAGTGTCATTTAAAGTATACCATAATGTCATCACTGTGTTAAAATCAAGGGATGGATTATGATTGCTAATGTGACATATACCCAAAATGACTAAAAAAGGAAGTATAAAACTAGAGGCCACCACGGGTCAACATGACAACTATCCAATATGACCAAGGATGTAAAAAACAACAAGTCATCGCAGGTCAATCAACAGATGGTACAGTTTACAATTTGCTTTTTTTGTTTTATGTCATTTATTTTGTATACTTAAATCAGGAAGCACAAGATCAAAAGGAGACCAAAGAAGAAATGAAGAATACTCTGCAGACAGAAGAAGAAAAAAAGGTAAAAGAGGATGCAAAAAATCATGTTCAACAGATTTTGGTTTCCTATTGCAGATAAAGTTTATGAAAAAGAAAATTAAATGTTTGAAATATTTCTTTGTATTCAGATTATGATAAACTTTAGTTATAACTTAACCTATTGTTTCTTTAAATGTTTGTTTCCAAAAAAATCTGGAAATATTAAAAAAGGATATCGATTTGTTTTCACTGTTAGTGTTTTCATTTTTCTACATCACTGTTTTAGGAGGAACAAGAATATAGTGATGTTGAAGAAGAAATGGATAGGGCTTCACAGGAAGCGGATGAAAGGGAGATGCATGATAACGATGAAATAGAGGTTTGGCTTTCTTTTTTAGTACTTTTCGGTTTGATCAGCTCTTTAACGTTTGTATAAAGGTTTCGGAATTTTGAATTTTTGACGTGTAGCATCACGGAGGAGATATAAGTCGTCGAAATGCGCATCTGATGCTTAAAATTGGTACCGTTAATGAATTTACAATAACCACTGAGGAATAGATTTAGTCCACGTATTAAATTTATTGATTTATATGCAAAAATCGTTATTTGACACTGAAATTCGAATCAAATCTGGGACTCCCACATATATTCCTACATCATTCACGAAAGGGGAGATTCTAAAAAAATCATATATGTTTTCTATCCTATGATATAAACACAAAGGAGACGATGAAAATATCCCGTCTATATACTAGAAACCCAACAATCCTGATAAGTACCGATTATCAGGTTATCTGAATATTGATATCGTAAAATATCAGCTGCCAGTCACAATATGATGCTTTTTGGTCGAGTAAGGGTAGCAAACGAGTTCATAAAAGGCTTCATATTGTGTCGAGCAGCAGATATTTTACAATATAAATATACAGACAACCAGATAATCGATTTATCGGGTTGTATTTGCGTATTTTGCATGATAGAAACAAGTGTTTTCTTTGTTTTACCAGCAAACCGGAAGATGACTTGAAAAGTTAGGGTCAAACATTCATTATGACGTCGGTGATATGTCCGGATCAAAGTTATTCAAGCCGGGTCAAAGTATTTGACGTCACAAAGCCGTGATATGCACTTTTATTAATAGCTGAGCAGAGTGATATAGACAGTTTGACGACCGATAAGAAACTATATAAAGCCGGCTGTCTATACATAACATTTTTTCTAAAGTTCTCACTACCTTTATTCTGAATGTTAAATATTGCCGTCAGAAATATAATGATCTAGTATATTCAACCAGTTATGTGAATCGGTGTTGATTCTCAGAAATTCTAAAAATCAACTTCAAAGTCTGCAATTGCAATACTTACAATTGTTGAATTATTCTCATGCAACTGAATAGCGACACCCTGTTTTAGATATTTTGGTACCAGAATAGTCGTCTGATCTGTTAATTTACCAATTTTTGTCCTATTCCTGGTTGCGGCATTTTCAGTTTGGATTCGAAGTGGAGACGGTTACCCTGGTGTCGTTCTTTTTAGAGATCATTCGATTCAATCAGTGTTTGCTCTTTTGGATTTGGAAAACCTAAAAGACTCAAATAGTTACTTAGTAATTTAATCATCTTGTATGGAGAAAGAAAAAGAAGTGTGAAGTGGATGTTGTTAAGTCAGACAAAAAGTAGAATGTACATGAAACAGAAAATAAAGGCAGCTTTTCCACTGCATTGAAGGCCACACTGTTATATTGATATTAAGAACAGCAATAAAAGCAATGCTGCAGCTTTTGGTTTTATAAAAAAGTTTTAAACAAAAATACCGAACTCCAAGGTAAATTCTAGAAGATGAAGTCCATAAAAAGTGACAAAATCAAACGTTATCAATCAACGGAAGGAGTGAAAAACAGCTGTCATATTCCTGATGTGGAACAGACAAACAAACATAGAAATAAATCTAACAAAGACGCCAACAAAAAAGCACGCAAAGGAATTTTGTGTTATGAACTTACACGAATACACCATATTCCTTCTTTTTTATTTCAAAGTCAGAATAACGTGCAGTGATAATGTGTTCCTGTAGACTGTCAAGGGTTACCTCGATAATGATTCAATGTACGTTTTGTATACACATAATCCATGAAAATGTTATAATCCTGATAAATCAGTTTGGCCGCATATATGTCCAGACAAAATACATCTAGCATGACATTAAAGGGGGACACACTTGGTATAAGTTTCATGTACCATAACTTTGAAATTGTCTTGGTTCGATTACAAAAAACGATGTTTTGTACTCCGCCTAAAAAAATCCAATAGTTGAACCATCTCAAACCTAATTACTATAACAGGTTAACTAGTAACAATTGTTTGGACAATTGTAATAAATGCATTTAGCAAAGATGAAACAATAAACTAACATTCTGGTTCTGATTTTGTTTTTAAATTTTATGTTGTGTTAAAATTGTATTTTTTTAGGGTCGAGAAGGAAGATTTGGTCATAATTTGCATACCTCCCAAACATATCTTGACAGACCCGGCAAGTATAATGCAAGAAAAACTGAAGAAAGCATGCCAACATTTACAGATAAAGAAGGGTTTTTGTTAGAGAAAAAAATCAAAGAATGGAGAACGACAAATGAAAATGAAAAAGAAGAAGACACAGAAGAATTACCTATAGATCATCCGGAGGTATAGAAAATTGCTTTCAAAATCTTATATTTTTCTTTTGTAGGAAACAGATGGATTTGAGAATTGATTCTCCTTTACATGACAATATGATTAAAAAGTATTGGATTTCAAATCTTTTCTAAGCGAAGGCTGCAAGACTGAATATCTTGAATGATTTGTCAGATTGAAAACAATTCTCATAAAACGTTTGGTAAATTTTACATTTATTTTGGTTAATAAAATGGATTTATAAAATTCAATATTTTGGGAATCGACTTTTTACAAATGCACGGAGAGCACATGGACATTTACGCGTTAGTTGGTATTTGATTATAATCCCAAAACAGAGGTTAGCCTTTGGCATTATCCCATATTTGTCTTATTCATCTCAAGGATGTAGGGTAATTGCATACCTGAATTCAGCACCTAAACGCCCATTTGTCGAAACAAGTTTGAACATGAATTCAGTTCTTATCATTGAAAACCAGGTTCAACCCACCATGTTTTTTTTAAATGTCCTGTACCAAGTCAGGAAAATGGCCATTGTTATATTATAGTTCGTTTCTGTGTGTGTTACATTTTAATGTTGTGTTTCCGTTGTGTCGTAGTTCTCCTCTTATATTTGATGTGTTTCCTTCAGTTTTAGTTTGTAACCCGGATTTGTTTTTTTCTCAATCGATTTATGAATTTCGAAAAGCGGTATACTACTGTTGCCTTTATTTAGTGTAGATATGGATATGGTTTATTTGTTTCAGCTTTTTATTATTTGTCCTGGTCATTTTGAGGCATTTGTTGCCAGCAAATTAATGGGATAATTAGATACTAGTATTTTTTTTAATAATGAATTGTAGATTGGCTTTCATAGATTTTCAATATGATAAACAACTTTTGTATTTTTACTTTGATAATGGAGTCAACTATTTGCTAAAATGAAGAAAAAAGAAAGAAGTCTATTAATGTTTTATGCAATTCTTACATTTTACTGCAAATTTGATATTCAGATTTCTTTGTACGCATGTTTTACCATTAAGGATAATAGCTTCTTTTTTGGTTCGTATTACAGAATTCAAAAACATGCTTACATCTGACAATTTGTTTACAGATGTTAATGTACATTTTAAGAGAAATCATCTGTCTTGTTTAAATCTTTTTTTAGAATATTGATCCAAATGATCCTTTATCTAACCTGCTTGAAGGTATGGAAATTGAGAACAAGGGGAAACTTCATCTTGTAAGTATTTGTACATGTTTAATAATTATGACTTCAGGTAAAATGATCCTTAACCGCATTCTAGTAGCTTGAAACAAGAAAATAAATATAAATACAGCAATTCAACACGATCTCTATGTTTTGTGTTCAATGGTATCAGAAAAATGAACAGTTTTAACAAAATAGATAACAAATTCTCTAGTTGAATGCTGTTCTTCATTCTTTTTACAGTTGGCCCTTTTGTCGTTTTCTACAGGAAAAAGGTTTTTCTCTTTTTATTTACTTTCTATTTCATAAACTGCTTATGAGCATATAAGTTTTATGTAGGTAATGACGAAAAGCGTGGATGTATTATATTGATGAAATTGATTTATGGCATTTTAATAATGGATGATAATAAATAGCATATAACAACGTTCTAACATGTTGTAGGAAAAATACTGCTATTTTGTGTTGTTCGACTATATTTTGGAAAAAATGCAAAGAAATTATTGCAAAAATGAAAAAAATTCCTATTAAGTAAAATGTTTTGTTTCGTTTGATTAATGATTGAGCATCATTCATAAAAAGTACCAATATAGGTAAATGTATGGTATTCAGCATTATGACTTCGCAAACATATAATGCAACGTTCGACTGTCTTTGTTACGTAAACAATGGAATGCAAGCACGTATCGTTACACAAATAGAGGTCAACCTTTGATGCGTAAAAGTGATATTTTTTAAGTTCCAGTCGCTGAAAGACAGGACCATCCAACCGTACCACAAAGCATTATTTTTGATTCAGATCAATTTTAATTGCTATGAAAAATATCTGGAAAGTACATAAATAGCCGTACGAATTGTTAAATGTGTATATGCATATCCCAGGTTGAGACGTATTGGATAGACATATGTCTATACGGATTGTTTCCTTGTAGAAGTCTTTTATATTGTTGGGTGGGTGGTCGCAGTCTAATTGATGCATACCCACTTTTGTGTTTATTTTTGTCATTCAATTAAAACAAAAACCTCGTTGACCAACCCTGCTGAGATTTGTTACCAAAAAAGGCAACATAATGTGATACCCATAGTCAAAACATTTTCACTCTTTCATCAACTTTGCAATGTTCAATAGGTTTGTTTTAATCCATTAAACATTAATGAAAATAGCATGTAAAAATTCACACGGTACTCTTTAGAAGTTTGATTCTTCAGAAGATACTGAAGCCAGATATAAAGGGAAAATCTTGATTAAAAAAGAGAGCCGAAAAATACCAAAGGGACATTCAAACTCATAGTCGAAAATAAACTGACAACGCCATGGCTATAAAAGATAAAAACTAACAGACAAACAATAGTACACAAAACACAACATAGAAGACTAAAGACCGAGCAACACGAACCCCACCAAAAACTTTGGGTTATCTCAGGTGCTCCGGAAGGGTAAGCAGATCCTGCTCCACATGTGGCACCCGTCGTGTTGCTCATGTTAGTACAAACCCGGCAATAAGTCTAAATCGGTAGGTCACATTTGGGAAAAAAGGGACATGATTGTAGTTACGACATTTGGAATTGATTGTAAATATAATGAACAGGTTCAGGGACTTCATCCTGAAAATAGTGCTAAGACGTACGGTGATTCCCACGACACACACAGACTAACACCAGAGCAGATAGCAGAACTTGAATTAGATACAGTGAGTAAAGTATCAATGTGAAATTAAATCTTGATTGTGATATCCGTACAGTACCGTATTGAAATTATAGTAACATTGGTGATGCTATGTAAGATGTAATGTAAAAAGATTAAAGCAGATACATCAAAATTTTCGTTTCAATCAAAAAAACATAGTTATATGTGCATTGTGTATCTTAAAAGCTTATATCCGTTTAAATAATATCTTAGAAGCTTATATCCGTCTAAATTAACATCTACCGCATGATTTTGTCATTAATTTGTTAAAAATCAGATTAAAGACCGCTTACGATGCGTTTTATGGCTTCACATCTTAAAAGATAATCTTGATACTATAAAAAATATAAATTACTAATGAAAAGAATATATTAAGCTGCAGTGCTTTAATAGAAGCCGGCATCCTTTTAAATAACTTTCTGCTTTTTGAATTAAGGGAAACTGATTTTGCATCTGACAATTTTTATGGAAATCCGTAGCCCATTTTCTTTTTTGCAATTGTGTTGTAAATTATGGTATATATTCTTAAAATGAAAAGGTTCACAAATGTACTATCATAGTCTTATAATTGAAGTACATGTATACTATACTACAACATATGTATATATATAATCAGATATTGTGTTTTATCATATATCCTCTTCATAAAATAATGACAATTCTTTTTTGATACCCTCATATCAATGCATACGAAGTAGCATTTGTTAGTCTTGTATGTTTTTTTTTTAATTTTATTTCATTTATATGTTTCGGAGATTAGTGTGACGTCCATTTTCACTGTGTTCATAGACCAGCTGAAGCCCGCCTCCGGATGCAGGATTTTCTCGCTGTGTTGAAGACCCATTGGTGGCTTTGGGCTGTTTTCTGCTCTTTGGTCGGGTTGTTGTTTCTTTGACACATTCCCCATTTCCATTCTCAATTTTATCTTTAAAATTCATTATTTTAAATAAAAAGATATCGATTTTGCAAATTCATTTTGCCGCACTTTTTTAACCGGACAAATTACGAAACAAATAATTTAAACAATAAGATATGTGTGTCAACAAAAAGATATGTATATCCACAAAAATCATTTTGGTTTGGTCATTCGTCATTGGTTCTGTGATCAAAAGCTGTGCCCAAATATCTGGAAATTTTTGCTGTATATATTTGCCGAGAAGTTCATGCCGACACCGTATTATGATAAATTTTAATTTTGTGTAAATTATGCAATGGTTACGATTTACTTTCTTATCTTTCCAGTTTTATTATTTATGACAAAATATCTTTTTATATTGTTGAAGGTAAAAGCTTTGTGAGATACACAACACATTGCGTATTACATGTCATATTATAACAGAGCTAAAATCAAGAGTTGGAGTTCGGTATTTTTGTTAGATTTTTTTAATACCTAGTATAGTTGCTAAATATAATTCGATTTGATTGTTATCAGCTGGATTACATGTACCTGTTCCAATTGATTCTATCAAAGTTGTCAATATTTGAAATCGCCTTATGTAGTGATGTATATGACTGAATATAGAAATGAGAACATTTATTATAAAGGTCTTCCTGTCTCTTTTTCAATCCAACCCCCACCGACAATCACACTGACAAAATAGATTGTGATCTTTTGTCAACAGTTGAAATCATAAAGTTTCTTCAAAATAAAACAAAACCTTTATTTTGAAAAAAAAGATATTACTCAATGCAGGATTTAGCAAAATTAATTCAGCGTTATTATATGTTTCTATTGTAAACTGGATATTTTTAAAAACAAACATATTGATTTAACCTTATATACACTTAACAATAGCAAAAGTAGACGATGCACCAGATTCTGATAACGTCCCTGTTTTGTTTTATCCTTATACTTGGCATAATAACATATGGCATAATATTTTTTTCCAGGAAGATTCAGGCACAAGAAAGAGAAATTTTTTAACTAATACCAAATATCTTTGGAAAAATAGCATTGTTCCCTATAGGTTATATAACATGTGTAAGTACTTGACTCTTTTTACAACACTAGTATTTATATTGTCACTCGTTGGTCCTTATAGAATATATAGCATATAAAAAGAAGATGCGGTATGATTGCCAATGAGATAACTATCCACAAGTGACCAAATCACACAGAAATTAACAACTATAGGTCACCATACGGCCTTCAACTATGAGCAAAGCCCATACCGCATAGTCAGCTATAAAAGGCCGCGAAATGACAAATGTAAAACAATTCAAACTAGAAAACTAACGGCCTAATTTATGTACAAAATAATGAACGAAAAAAAAAATATGTAACACAGCAACAAACGACAACCACTGGATTGCAGGCTCCTGACTTGGGACAGGCACACACAGAATATGGCGGGGTTAAACTAGTTTGAAGTCGCCAACCCTCCCCAAACCTGGGACAGTGATGTAACAGTACAACATAAGAACAAACTATAAAATTCAATTGAAAAAGGCTTAACTCATCAGATGGATACAAAAACATGCATGTATAAGAACGTAATTCCTTTTTCAAGTACAAAAACAATCAGTTACGGAGAGTCAGGACAGTTTGACATAGTATTTATTTTGTAATTTTGAAAAAAAGTTTATAAAACAAGAAGGAATCGTCGAAAAATCATAAAATCAAAAAGAGTTTACCCACTATTTATTTTTATTTTAAATATGATGCCCAAAGGTCGAAAGTATTGTAATTTTGTGGGAGAAAAAATTTGACGACTTACAATAATAATAACAAGAACAGTACCAATTTTATTGCACCAGATACGCATTTCGACAATTTAAGCCTTCAGTTATGCTCGAGGCCAAAATATTTGAAGGTCCAAGACTTAATACAAATGTTTGAAGAGCTGATCAAACCAAAAAGACATAAATTAATGCCAAACCCAGACAAAGAACAAGAGCTAAGCATGAGGGAGATACACTCCATAATTTAAGGTGATACCCTCTAGGACTAACATTCCACCAGAAGCGGTATCGACCCAGTGGTAGTTATGACATCAGAAATTTTGTTAAAACTAGTTTTGGTGCAGCAATAGCTAAACAATCTTTTTTGGAAATGTTTAACACTGTCTCCTGTCAAATTTGACAACATCTCAATATTTCTTTCAGATTTTGAAAATTGTCAAAACATTTACTATGTTAAATATTATAATGGTAAGGTTATGCTAAATGCTTATTTAAAATTGTATTCCCTCGATTAGAATCCATTACTACGATAATCAATAAAACGAGATGTGGGATATACGTCAATGAAACAGCAACCAAAGACATAAATAAACCATACGATATTTAGAGGGCAACACACAATTTACGCCATCATAAGGAAAAGAACTCACAAAAAAGAGAGGTAGAAAATGTGTCCTTGCATAAACAAGTATCTCCCCTAAAACTGTATCCTTAATACAAACGTAATGATCATTGTTGAAGACTTAATGTTGACCAGTATCCTGAAATGGATAGTTGTATCGCGTTGATTTCATATTTAAGGCAATGTTCGTCGTCTTGTGATCTAGGAACAAGGATTTAAAATATTTACAATGTGATGACAAATTATAACGAAACAGTTAGGGAAAGAAATTCCCTTCAATCTACAGGCGTGGAAAGCTGTACACTTTCAGCTAGGTGATGCTAACGAGGAGAGGCATCACTCAACAAACAAAAGCTATATTTTTGTAAAGCCGGGTTTATCAGGCGATCAGGTCGAAGGCCACAGTACAGACGGAGTCGCCATGATGTATCAGAAGCAAGGACCTCTGATCCTAAATTCCGGCGAGGGAAGGACAAACATTTCCTACTGCATATTTGTACATCTCATATTGTTGGGCTACTTTAAATATTAAATGTTCGCCCTGTTGCCGACGATGATCATTTTAGAAAAATATCTTCTAAAATTGTTTTTTGAATAAACTATTTATGAAAAAATGGTTGAGGTTTACGGGGGTACGATATTTTTTAAAAATTTTACCGCCCTTAAATTTATACGGTCACATGGCTTTTCTTAGTGAATAATTTTTATTTTTTTACCATACAAGCGATTCTGCAGAAAATTATGTTTGATCAATGTAAAAATGTCTCCGGTATTTAAGCATACTCGTGAGGTCACAATTGTGCTTGCATGAATCTTTATCATAATGCTATACATGTTAAAAAAAATATATAGAAGATACAAACCAATCCCAGATAGTCAGTTATTTGATCTTGGTGTCATATTCCTGTTACATAAATGGCTGCGTTGTGAAACGTTATTTGGAACATTGTTATACTAAAATTGACAAAATCTGCAGCAGTTCAACTACTTGCCAAAATAACCCTAGATAAAGGAAAAATATCACTTGTCTAAAAAAGATGTTTTTATATAGCCTTTTTGGCCGAGTTGTCTAGTGCGCTAGACACAGTGCAGGCAGGTCCAGATGAATGGGTTCAAATCCCGCTGAGAGAAGGACAAAAAGCGGCAGACCTAACATAATTAGGACAGCACCTCCATATGGAGTATGCATCACCCAGTTGTTACGATATTCCAGAGCTGGTATTTCCTGTCATGATTTCCTTGACAAAGGGTTACTACTTACAAGGAAGCCATTGAACCAAATTTTCCAAGTTCTTGAGTTGGAGTCATTTCTTCGAAAGTTAAACGGACGTCATCACGAGTCGGCTGGCCGTTATGGAATATCTGTCCCCTTGGTATCTTTCGTCTCTTTTTTCAGACGAAGTATATATATATACTATATATAAAGTGCATAGACAATCAACCTAACAATGTTAGAGTAGATTTGATTCTTTACTTCCTCCCCTTGCAGGGCTGGAACCTGTACTTTTCACTTCATACTTCTACGGCAACACCGCCTTGCATTACGCAGACGCCATAAATATATGATATGCATATAGTCATAACAAAAGCTATTTGTTGTGCCAAAATTCTTGTTAATACGATTTCATTTCATCTTGTTCGTACATTTTGATCTTTTATTAGCATCGTCGCACAAATCCTTAGACTTCTATCATATTTCTGTTTGTGCAGTATTGTCAATTTTATACGATCCGTCATTCAGTAAATATGCTCGTTTGTAGTTTTATATAGACTCTTATATATACATACACGCATATAGATATAACTCATCTGTGTATTAATTTTCTGTCAAATATTGATTTTTTTCATTTTTGTGGGCTAAGAGGAGCATAAGTTTCAGTTCTTACTTTCACCTTCTCCCTTAGGTTTTTTTTGGTGGAAACTTGAACTAGGTTTTTGTATCTTTACTGTCTCTCTTTCGCTTAGATTATATTTTTGCTTAAAAATGAATGTAGTACATTGTACTATGAATTCATAATTATTTGTTGGTTATCAATTACGTGAATTTCGGGGGTATAGTTGAACAACGAATTTAAATGTTCAATGAAGTATAATTTTCTAATAAGATTGTATGCAAACTTTGCAGAACAACGAAACCAAGTATCAACGAAAATAAAATGTTTCATCAATCCACGAAAATTGGTTCCCACGAAAATAAAGGAATCTACATCTGAATTTACATTGTATTTACTTTTGTTTGCTCTTAAATCCACAATATTTTTAACATCTCATTTTCTAATTGCAGCCACAAGTTCTGTAACAGTTATAAACAAAGCCATTAAACAATTCCATGACTATACATGTATCAAATGGGTAACAACATCTGATCCCTTGTTCAACCCATCAGCACTTGGACACCAGAATGTTGTAACATTTATAAATGAAACGTAAGTAACTGAATGTAGAAACGTTTTGATATGTAAATCAAAAATTTTCATTCAATGTTGTAACTTTCCTTTTGAAAATGTTAAATACAGCCTAACGTTTGATTTTGTCAGGTTTAATGGACTTACCCCTTTCCCAAAACTGAGGTAATCGTATGAACTTCAAACGGAGCAAGACCGGATGCATCGGCAGGTAAAGTGTCTAGTGCTATGCATGCACCACCCGTGATATAAATCCAAACTCGGTCTGAATATGCTAAAGAATCGATCAAAACCATATCAATTACCGTCACTGTGTTCATTGGTAAGATACAAATGGTGGATTTCTATATGTACAATACTAGAAATTGGTGAAAACGCAACATTTTCTTGCTTGTGACCACACAGTTACACCCTCCCCACCCCCCATCCCCCCCAAAAAAAACATAAAAAAACAAACAACAAAAAACAAAAACAAAAACAAAACAAAAACAAAAACAAAACGAAACAAAACAAATATTTTAAGTCTCGTATTCTTGAAATTTCAGAGGTTGTTGGTCCTATGTAGGAAATGTTAATCCTCAAGGAAACAATATACAGTATCTAGGCTTAGAAGAACCAGGTTGTATAAGTGTAAGTATGTCCAATGCTTGATACATGTAAGTTTATCAGCAATTTGTACATTTTCCGTTTGATCTTACTGCCAAATATTTTCAAGATGATGGACAGGACTTCATACTCGAATATATTAAGCAATGACGTCATGTATCAGTGCAGCAACGGCACGTGTTCATGTCCATTCGCGTCAATTTATCAATGAAATGCACGCGACTTCATTCATACAACCGAACATTTATCACAATGTTTTTTTCACGTAAAAATAGTTTTACTAACTATTTCATTTGATTTCATATTTTCAATCAACATACAGTTAAGACAAATTGCCGATAAAAAGAATAATGGCATTTTCATTTTTGATACTAACTTTATCAGCTCGAATATCAGCTCACCCTAGCGGGCTCGCTTGATATTCTTGCTGATAATGTCGTTATCAAAAAGGAAAATGCCATTATTCTATATATATCAGTAACAGATCTCATTAAACATTGAAACTTGTCAGGGGAGCAGTTGTGCACTTGCAATTAACATGATTAGTAAAGTTGATTTACCTGATATTAAATCTGTATTTAAGGGGTGATTTTAGAGGCTTGGGAGAATTATCTTATAGTACTTATCGCTGTCAACTTTTCGGTGACGCCTAAATCAAGATGTTCATCTTACAAACAAAAAACAATTGTATTGTTGCATCAGATTTCTGCAATGTTTTGTAATGTTTGACAAATAGCGACATAGCTCCTATAAAATCCTATGAGCCATTCTTTTTTTTATATTTGCGATATACAATTAAGACATAAGATAATAATGATTGATTGTTGTTGAACGTACAGTGGCAAATTAAATGAATATAGAGAACATTATATGAATCCTGCTTTGAACTGGACCGACACGCTGAGCCGGATTATAAACGTCCTGGTTCACAAGATAACATAACTTTGGGAGACACTTCACCGTTCCCGGACACATTGTTTTTATGTCTACGGGTCGACAACTCTTTGCTCTTACCCCTTAATGACGCGTACTCAGTGGATAAAAAGCAAATACCAATTTTCAAGTCTTTATTTTGACCAAGATTAGAGAAAAGAAAAAAACATATTTTCAAATATTTTCTGTTGAGGTGCACATTTAGTTAACGAACTTTCGTATCTTTGATATCAACCCATTCCTTCATAAACTTGCCTATAATTGTAAGAGGAATTATTTAAAAAGGATTTTTTAAATATTTTTAGAACTTCTAATTATAAGTTACAGTTTTCATTTTGATTCTTTGGCAGAATTAGAGATTAGAGGTCAATGAAGTCTCCCTACACTTAAATCTCAGAAATGTTTTAAGAAGATACAAATCAAAAGACAAAAGCAAAAACAGAGAGAATCGCATAAAATAAAAAAAGACCGGGGCAGGGTGCGATTTATATTTGTCCTATATAGAATAGGGCACAAAGGATTTACAGAAGCAACCAAACTTCCAAGGCAAATATTTGTCTCTATGAAAATATTTGTAAAGGTTTTAAGTATTGTAACGGAATCCCTGACTTAACAATTTACCAGCTATACAAAGAATATGTTCGTGGGAATTTAAAACAACTCTGCAGACACGGGCATAGCAAACAAGTTTATACACCGTAATTAGGGACAAGAAACATCGCCGTCCAAAAAAAGAAAATAACCATGGGAAACGAAAAATCGTCTATTTGTTAAGAGTTTCCCCGATGGAGTAAACAATATCAGAGGTTTAACAATCCGGAGCCGCACACTACGTGTATTTTATTATTTAGTGGTACTTTTAAAACAGGTATCATTTATGAGAATAATGCATGTTTTATAGTTTTTTATGATTACATTTAGAAATGAAATAGTGTCGTAGTGTGTGATTGAACTATTATATATGCGAGAGTTGTACACTCCAGGGCCGAATATAAACAAACTTGTTTGATATTTTGTGGTACAATGAGGAATCTAAAGACTTAACAAAGGTCGTATTCATGGCATTTTGTAAGATGATTTTAGGGACCCCTATATTTTTCGGAATTGGGACCTTGATAGCTGATTATTGACACCTGTTTATCATGGGTGACGTGTCATCTAATATATATATTCTTTGTCCTCTATTCGGCATGCTGTTAAGGAATCAATATCCTTAAAACACAAAGGTCTTCTTAACAGTAGGTTTGGAAATCATAGCGAAAATAAAAAAAAAAAAAAAAAAAAAAATTATTTCAAGCTTTTTGCCCATGTTAACAATTGAGGGCATTGTATTAAACAATATTTCATTATAAGCGTTGTAAGATATCGGCAAACGTAAAGCATCCCCATGTTACAATAAGCATAGAGCATGGTACAAAAGAATTACTTATATGTTAATAGGAAGATTCGGAACTTTTTACGTTCGATGCCGACCTGTAGTTAGCAGTTTTGGTTTGGTGAAGCCCAAAGCTTCTAGCGAAATAAGCTTTTAACGATTGAGTTAATGAAAAATATATATTTGCTTTTCTAAAGTTTTAATGGAATTTCATTGCGTTCAATTCCCCAAAAATTGTACATTTTGATAACTGGTATCGTTTAAATAACAACTAATGTTGAATATTCAAGACTTAGTCAAGATTTGATCCGTCCACATAGGCAATTCCATGCTATGCAAGTTTGAAAAACTTATTGTGATACACTATATATCTGAACTAGATTTCAATTACAACAAACAAAATGAATGCATTCAGCTGCGCAGATCATGAGCCGACATTTAATGCATTTAATGCATGTATATATATAAATATATATGATGTAAATGTACATTTCAATTTGCAAGAATATATATGTAGAATATATAAATAAAAAAATATCACAAAAGTACCAAACTCCAAGGTAAATTAAAAAAAGGGGAAGTCCACAATAATCAAACGTTATCAATCAACGGAACAAGTGATACAACTGTCATATTCCTGACCTGGTACAGGTATTTTCCGAAAAAAAAGGTGGGATAAACCCGGTTTTAAAGCTAGCTAAACCTCCCACTTGTATGACAATTGTTTATAGTTCTGATATAATGACAAAATTGTGTAAACATACATCACAACTGACTGAAAAATTCAAACGAACATACAAATATATCTAACAAAGACGCCAATAAAAAAGGTGTTGTAGTTTATTGTATGTATGTATGTACGTAGATCCCTCCGTTTTCGGAGCACCCCTCGAGAGCTGCGAGGATACAGTGGAATACGTGTACACTCCCTATAGGGATAAATGACGTATTTACAAGTCAACAATATTTACAAAGACAATCCCCACCCCAACACAAAGGGAGTGCTATGACACCGCGCAGTCTGTTATTATGGTGGAGGAAGTCGAAGTACTCGGAGGGAACCACCGAGCTTCTCGGCGGAAACTGACAAACCGAAGAGATACCAGTAGATTGATCTCCAGGTCAAAATCGGGGGCAACTTTGACCAACCGAGGCCTCAAAAGTACCCATTCTAGTTTTAACTCCGGTCTGGGTACCAGAGATGTGTGTGGGAGGGTGAAAATCACCCTACTGAAATTACCACCGCCCCGAGTCAGACCTTCAGCACTGTAGCCATCGGTCTTAACCACTAGACCACGTACCCACATGTTTATATAACAAAGCCAACTAAAAAGTTTTTGTAGTTGTTAGTAAATTCATAATGTCGCCGGTAAAAAGTTTTTGTAGCCGATAGTATACATCACACATAGCACACACCTTCTCGATAAAGTACAAACCAAGCAAAACACAAATACAAGGCAAACAAAATGGAAACAACATGGTAAAAAAATATCCTCTTGCGTGTGAATCGCACCTGTTCCAGAAACTCCCAAAGTAAAATAACCCGATAGCGGGATGCACAAGCACCGAGTCAAGTCAAAAGTCACAAGACCAAAAGAGACACAACATCACGAAGACAAACAAAGGGAAAACTGCAATGCAAATGAAAAGACACACAACTAAATATGTGAACAATGGCAACTATAAAGCATAAAACCTCTTATCTCTATAAATGTATGTATGCGTCTTGAACGTAACCTCGCCGTCAAGGAAAAAACCCAAATATATTTTCTAAAGAAAACTGATATGGAAACCTGTGTTATGGGGCGAGTGCAAACCACATCTCACGAAATTAATGTCAAACCAAATAAAAACCAAGTATCAAATTTAAAACTAATTAATACATTGTTGAAGTTTTGTGTTGAACGTTTGTGGCTTGCTTGATTTTCAAACACTTTCACCCATTAACATAAGAATCCTATTGACGGTATAACAAATTATTGCTTTCCGTAACCACGTGTTAAACTACAGAAAACCGCCAAAAATATACTGTGATCAAAATCGTTACTTTGGACAACATTTTCCCCGTTATTCTCTGAAACGTGGAAAAATCAATTTAAATGGGTAATTAAATGTATGCATGAATAAAAAAATATCCTCAATGCACAATCATGATTTTCACTTAGAAAGAAGAATAAATCGTTGAAAAACTTCTGTTTTATAATTACAAAAAAAAAGAAAGATTTTGGTTTATTGTTGGAAGTTATTTATTTTGTTTGAAATGTGTTAATGAGCTTTATGATATGCAAAATTTGTGTCAAATATGTTTCATTTTGAGATCCTTCAAAGATCTTTTCAATAAGACGATTTATTGTCAATTATGAAAATTATTAAAATAACAGATTAATTGATATCTGCAACAAATGCCACATGGTGATAGTTAATTGAATGTAATATAAAGATACTCTCTTTTCTAACTGATTATAACTATTTCGTGTTGACCAGGAGAATTGAACCAAATCATTCACACTGCTAGTAAGCGCTCTACCAGGAGACCAGCAGAACAGCTAGGTGTTAAAATAGTATTGACGTCAAAATGGCAAGCCGAAATATACTTCTTTACTTAAGTGCCTGAACTCTCTAGTAGTAACACTAGTGACCATCACTCTAGAATAAAGGACGTATTTTTGTAAAAAATCTTTAATAAAAAATTAATACATTTCTACAATTTTATCACATTTGTTTTTTCAATTTTTCTTGTCCAATAGTTATCAAGTTCAAGTTAAAAGAATGCTTTATTTGCAGGTTGGTACATCTGTTCATGAAATGTTACATGCCATTGGAGGAAAACATGAACAATCTAGAGCTGATCGCGATAAATACGTCACAATTGAATGGCCAAACGTAAAGAAAAGGTGGAATGGACAGGCATGGGTAAAAAATCACAACATGGAGAAGTTTAGCACACAAGACAATAACCCCTACGATGCAGAATCAGCCATGCAGTACAGTTTGTTTGCAAGTATTTCATACAGTTAAAGAAAAAAGATATGAGTAAAAAAAAGATGTGGACCATGGTGAATAGTTCAATGAAACAATAACATAACATAAACAATCAGAGTACATATTAAGGCTATTCTCCTCTTGTGTCCTCTTTTGCACTACATGATAAATTTTCTATTATCTTGCATGTATGTCGTATAGAATATATGTATACTAATTAGTTTGGTGTGCATTGACATTGTTTGGTACTGGACTTAATTGCAATTTTTCATTTTCAGGCTTTTTCCTCGAATGGCAAAAAAACTATTAAGTTTAAAGATCAACGATTAGAGTTCTTGGCAGATTCAGCTGATGGTCTAGAGTTCTATGATATACAAGATGTTACAGATGCATATAAATGTACTGGTAAGTGCATTTACAGAATTTTCTATATTGCCATGTATATGCATGAAGTATGTTGCCACTATTTTCTCTTTTTGGGAAAATCTTCAAAAATGAATTATTTTTTTGATTTCTTTCCTGAGGCTCGTTTTTTCTTCGCCGAAAATGGTAAAACTTATTGCGGATATCTATAACATATTCTTTAAAGTTTTAAGCATTAAAACGTGTACAATGCATCGTGAGGTTTCACACCTATGAGGACATGTAAATAATTTGGTATATGACATGTGATATGTCGATTTCAGTAGTTCGTCCTTAAAACTTTGTTGGATCAGTTTTTGTGTTGTCAATCCATCAAACTCAACAAATATGTTGTTTATCAAAAAGTCCAGCATTTTTGATGATATTATCCTTGGTATATTTGTTTTTTTTTAATCTGTACGGTTCTTCAAAAAGTAAGATTTTTGATGACCTAAAATAAAAAATTTGTATCTACGATTCCAATTTTTGTAGAAAAAAGCTTTGTCTAAGGATACGATGTGTTTGATCTTTCAATTGAGATATCAAAAGTTTTGATTTTACAGCACAAATGTAAAGATTGTGATTAAAGATTTTGCAGTAGATCTTAATAAATTTCAAGTATCAACATCTGATTGACACCGCTGGTTGAATATATCTCATCGTTATAATTCTACAGGTCATCTTTTACTTTAGATGGTGGTAAGGAGTTCACAAAGATGTTAAGTCAAACATATTGACGACCCGGCTACATCATCCATTTTTAACATACAAATCAGAACTAAGACTGACGGAATCGTATTAACTTCAAAAGGGGATGTGACTCAAATTGAATGTTATACATAATTACCTAAAATATATCGTTTTAACAAATTTGTTAAAATGTAAACTTTTAGCTATTTATTGGCAAGTAGAATAACAAAATGGAAACCCGGTTCAAATATTGCAGCAGGTTAAAGATTCGAGAATGTTCATTCTTGTTTTTGCATAAGAAATGTTAATCTATAATATAGTAATCTATTTTTGGAAGTCACACATAACTATTGATATATTTTTCACAATTTAATTTGTAGACCACTGCACCAACATACCAAACTGTCAAAATGGTGGCTTTTTTAATTTTCAATGTACATGTACTTGTCCAGATGTCCTAACTGGTGCTACCTGTGAACGGACTGTCTCTAATAGTCGTAAGTTACTACTTCGGACGCATTTTTCAAATGAGATTCAATATTATCCATTGTTAAACAAACAATCAGAATAAAAAAATAAAGGGAATCGTATAAACTTCAAAAGGAGGTGTGATTATTATTGAAATTTATAAATGATACGGACGCGTGAAATTTATGAAGTGTTATTTTTATTCTTAGCACTGGGTCGATACAGCTGCTGGGGGGAGGGGGTGTTAGTGTCCGAGGGTACCATCAGATCAGTAGTCAGTGTTTTGGTACTGGTCTAATTTATAACATATCCAATTTCATTCATTATACGGTTATCTCCCCATGCTTTATATTGAATCTGATATATGCTTCAATAAACATAAAATTTTATCAATTTGGTTCATCTTACGCGCTTTAGGTTTACATTCATCCAAAACAAGAAAACGTTAAGATACACCATGTGAGCCCAGTTAAGAGAGTACTTTCAAGCTAAAAGCATACTGTCATATATGCAAGATATTAGACTCAGATCGACGTCCAGTCTCTAAACGACGTCTGTTCCTCTAATCGACGTCCAGTGTGACGCCACGTTCTCTAATCTGTGTCCAATATTTTCCCCCTCTAATCGACGTCCAATGTGATGTCATGTATTACCAAAACGACGTCCGATCGATCGGAGTCTCCTCTCATCAATATATAATATCATTTAATCTTTTATTTTTAGTTGGATCTTTGTTTATATTGTCTGTATTGTAATATCTTTGTGAAAAGGTGCTTAAAGAAACTAACTGTTTCTTATATCTCTATCAAAATAAAAGGACGAACATCGAAAATTACAATAAGACAACCACCCAGATCATATTACAAGTACATACATATTATTGATTTTGTGAAAGAAGTTCATCCTCAGACGTCGATTAGAGACCAGACGTCGATCTGATTCTTACATATACTACAAGTTTGATTCTATCTAAAAAAACAAAGATTTCATATTTATATGGACGATTGGTCTTGCTATTTTTTTCATAAATAGCAATCAATTCAAATCAATGTGATGTAAAATAATTAATGTGTGCATGACTTTATTTGAGATGCAAAGTCTTTGCATGGGAAAATTTTTAATCATTTTATTTGAGATGAAATTGCAAAACATTTCAACAATAAATTAGTAGTATTGTACTGGTTTGATATGACTTAAAAGCGCATTATAGATAATTGGCTGGTGTTTCAAAATTTTGGAAATTTTATATCCATTTAAAACTAGTTACATTGTATCTTTATATATTTATATAGAGAAAGTACTGTCTAAATCATTTAGGTTTGAGTGATGTATGATAGCAATAACATATCACTTTTAAATAAAAGTCTATGGAAACATCACAGAGGACCTTCAATTAGAAGTACTAGTAGGAGAAATGCATGTGACTTCGCTTTTTACATAAAAATGTTTTACGTACATGGAATAACTTTGTATAGATATGTTTCATAAATTGTTTGTACTTCTGGAAAAATATATGCTACCTATATATGAACAAAGGACAATTTTGCTATACGTCGATTAGACAGCAATCCATCGACGAAAAATCTAAAGGACAACATACCGTCTTCAACTATATGCAAGTGTCTGTTAAATATTTCTAGGTCTAAATCGTGCCGAATCAATTAAAAAATTGTGAATAATTTAAACAGAAACTATTAAAGGTCCTTCATCTATATAATTTTGGCTTTGAGCGTTCCTGGTGTAATTTAATCCAGAAAAGATTTTCGGACGCAGGAAATTAGTTTTATTGTCTTTTTTTCGATATTCAGATGCCATTCAATGAGTGCCGAATGCATACAAAATTTCATAAAAATTCAAGATACCGCCACATTGCATACATTAAGCCTAAGTATTGTTAGAATAGAGTTTTAAAATTACAATTAATGTTGAAATTTCAAGATACGTTTGCATTGCTAAGGTTTTTGTTGATTTGTCGTTCTATTATTTAGGCATATTGCTCTTTAGTATTTGATACTTATGGCTATTTTAATATTTGGTACTTATGACTGTTTTAATATTTGATATCCAGCACAACTGATGAGATGTTTATTTTTAAAATATGCATATGGTGCATCTAATTGATATCTGATTTTGAAATTTTATAATTCAGCTGTTATTTTGGACTGATTAAATTGAAACAGGAACATTATCAGCGATCAAATTTAAAAAATAATAATATTTAAACAACATTTCTTGAATGGACTTCAAAATATTCAGGTATAAGTTTATACAGTTTGGCTTTGACTAAAAACAATCAAAATTAATATTTTATAGAAACTTGTGGTGGTGTTATCAACATAAGGGTAGGAGAAGAAAAGCTTATCAAATCACCAAACTATCCATCCAACTATCCCACAGGATTAGAGTGTACATGGTTAATTAAGGTAAGAATTGTCATCTTTAAAAATAAAACTATCAAACAAATTATCTCACAAGATTAGACTTCACCTTGCAACTCGTGAATTTTCACCAGGTGAAATCTATACACTATTCAACCAATTATTCTACAAGACAAAAATATACCTAGTTAATTGATGATTTTCGATTGCTGAAATCAGCATACTATCCCATAGAACTAGGGTGCACCTTTTTTGGTGAGATTCATCTATTGAAAAAAAAAAACAAGTTTCAAACAATACAACAGTGTACTCTTCCCTCGCCTGCATGATTCCCCAATTATGCGTATAGATTTGTTCAATCACGAAAAACACACCCTATTCCCAAATACAACTGCAGCAGGTACAATATAATTTGTGTTCCCGATTGCCATTAAAACAAATGTGTTGTTGTCGTGAACATATAATAACATTAACGGTACTAATTTTGTTGCAACAGGTGCGCATTTCAACAATTAATGTCTCTTTACTGCTGCATTGGAGCCAAAATATTTGAAAGTCCAAAACATTATACAAACGTTGAAAAGCTGATAAAACAAAAATAACCGAAGGTAAAGCCAACCCCTGACAAGGAATCAGAGCTTTGCTTGAGGAGATACATTCCTGAATTTGAAATGATAATGACATTTTAAAACCGCAACTTCAAATAGACGTTTGTCTGCTGTTCCGATTGTCAGTGCATTACAACGGATTTTGCAATCTTGCATTACAGATAGCCGGTAACAAGAGTAAAAAAGGTTAGCCATTTTAGAAGACTGATAGCCACTGCTAACATATACAAAAATATTCATACTTTGTTTGGAACATTTCATGATTCAAAAATACAAGTTCTAGTTACTATTGACCTTTAAGGGAAAATCTGTTCACTATTTTGGAGGTATTGTCGCTGAAATGGGCATTTCATTGTCATTGTTTCGAAGCATATAGGAACGAAGCTGAAATTGAAAATACATAGATAATCAGCATGAAAAGTTCAATCTACCTTAAATATTTCAGAAAAAAATGTATGTAGTTAATGCCCCTGAAAAATAAGTTTCACCAATTAACACTGTTATCTTTAAAACTACATGAGCTAGGTTAAAAGTGTAAATTGCAAATGATCAGTACAACAATATGTTTACCCCCTGAACTATGGAAAAATATAACTGCTTGTTTATGAGAAATTGCCGCCGAGAGATTGTTTTTTTTTCAATAGGAGTTGTTGTTGGCTTTTCTCGAGAAAACTATTAAGCTAAGTTTAAATAAGTGTAAATTATAAAAAGGATGAACATGAGAAGATGTATCTACCCTAAAAATCCATGTCAGTCTGTGTTTGTCTTTTTCTTTTTTGCCATGGCGATGTCAGTTTGTTTTCGACTTTTGTGTTTGAAAGCCCATTTAGTATCTTTTGTCTCCTTTTTGTTAGCTACCGAAATCAATGCAGTTTTGTTGAATAATACGACTTTATATTTAAATAACACCTGAAGCATTGTGCAGTGTACTTGTTTTATCACTTTCAGGGAACTGCTAATAATATAGTGAGAGCTTCAGTTCAATACATGGATATATCTTCTGATGCTGCATGCAACCATTGGCTGGAGTATAGATATAATTTATTGGGACAGAAAGGCCCAAAGTAAGTATGTTACAATATTTCTTACCAGACTTGATCGTCAACAATGAAAGTGATAAATATTTGTAATCTGTAGATAAGATTAGCTATTTTGTCAAGAGTGTCCCATCTTTTGTAGATAAAAATATATCAAAGATACAAGGGTTATAATTTAGTACGCCAGACACACGTTTCGTTTTTATTATAATCATCAGTGGTGTTCACATCAAACCCATTTGAGGGTCATACATAATACGAAGTTGACGAGCATTAAACACCAAATATTCCGCCAAAACATAAGGCCATTTACAGCTAAGGCAATCTATGCCTACAAGTATAAAACCCTAAGTGTTTCGGTTTTGAAAAATTCAACATATTAAACAAATGATGAGTTATATTATGTATTATGTTTTTAATGGTCTGACTCTAGATGTATTTAAAAGTGCGAAGCTAGGCCAGTTATTGTTAAATTTTAATTATGTGACCGTAGATCTGTTGTCTTATGTTGAAAGAAGACTCGAAAATCTTTAATGCCTGATTTCGCCTGATATCTTTATATTGCAGTGTAGGCAATTAAATATTTAGACATATAAAGTATAATGGTCTAGATAGAGGAAAAAACGTGAACATCAGACTCAAATACTTGGTTTTGCCTATACAGATGCGAATAAGGAAGCTCCGACAGTGTGAATTATTAATTATTTATAGAAGGTAGAAGACCTTGATAATCCATTGGTATTATGTTAACATATGCTTTATTGTATAACAATTCCGTTTGGCAAATGTCTGTTGTCCTTGATCTCATTTAAATGGTGCAATGACTGCACGAAAAGGTTTTGTAATCAAGTGACTTTTTTATTTATAAAAAAAAACTACATTTTGTACATAGAATCTTTGTTTATATATCCGTCTGGTTCATTGGTTAATATTACGGTCACACCATCCCTTATCATTAGCAATAGGGCATATGTATAGAATAAATTTAAGATGTACATGTCTGTTTTGCAATGCTCAGTTGACTTTGAATCAATTTTCATGGTGCAATGATTAACGTTCACGTGTTGTGATAAGGTCATTCTAAGTGTAGATGTTTTCTTTCCTTTACCTTAAGGTTTTGGTTCATGGATCAACTTTGATTCTACTTGAATATATTAGTGTCTCAGTTATATTGTAAGACAAAGGTTAATATTATATCGTCTGCATAGTGATTGTATGGGGTGAATGTCTGTCTTAGTAGCTTGACTTGCGCTTAAGCCTATTTTCTCGTTTCATTTATAAAAGTTTGTTTTTCTGTTACTATTTGCGAAAGAGTAACCATATGTTTTGTATGAAGTCATTTGTAGATGTATATAACAAACTTACATCGTTCATCATCTGACTTTGATCACCAGACGAGTAGTAATGAAAAATCATTGACTCTGCCATTTCTATGAATTAACTGTAACCACGAATAATCTGAATTGTTTGAAACACCGAGGTTTTTCTACACCAAGTTGTATATGGCCTTAGGCAAAGTTCACAGAACAACAATTCTTGTTTTTCAATGCTCTTCAATTTAATTTCATTTCAGCTTTCCAACTGTTTTGAAATTTGAAACTACTTTTTGGCAACTCTTTGTTTTTAATACTCTTTGACTTGATCTTCCAAATGTCTTGATTCTATTGATTCTGTAATGATGAGTTTGATGTAAACGAAACGCGCTTGCAGCTGACTACATATTAATATAAAAAAGAAGATGTGGTATGATTGCCAATGAGACAACTCTCCACAAGAGACCAAATGACACAGAAATCAACAACTATAGGTCACCGTACGGCCTTCAACAATGAGCAAAGCCCATACCGCACAGTCAGCTATAAAAGGCCCCGAAATGACAATGTAAAACAATTCAAACGAGAAAACTAACGGCCTAATTTATGTACAAAAAATGAACGAATAACAAATATGTAACACATAAACAAACGACAACCACTAAATTACAGGCTCATGACTTGGGACAGGCACATACATACAGAATGTGGCGGGGTTAAACATGTTACCGGGATCCCAACCCTCACCCTAACCTGGGACAGTGAATACTACAAATACAAATGGACGTGGCCGGGTACTTGTACATCCAAACAACAAAAAAGACAATACGTACAGATCTGAGAGTAGTCGCAGTTACTGACAGCTAGTTCAAAGCCACTAAAAACTATTAAAAAAAATCATGCATCTAAGACTAAATTATCAATCCGTACACATCCAACATCCAATGGATTTAGTGTAAAGACGTCATAAACAGTCAGAGAAAAACATGACCTTGTGCAATGCCAAGATACAGGTATCGACAGATTGTAAATCCATGAATGTGTATATGTATATAACAATAATATTTAGTTTAAGCATGGTATCTTTGATGAGTTTTTAATTACCTCATTTTTATGAATCATTTATTATTTCAAGTTTTGTGATACCAGTAATAACACATTAATCGCACTTTCGACATAAAATTAAATCATAATCAACATATCATGATAGACATTTCAGTGTGTGCATCCCATTTCTCTTTTAATATACCAGATGTGTGGTACAAATTTTGTTGCTGATGAAGAGGTATTGGACAGTACACCAGATGAGCTGAGCAATACCATGATAATTAGGACAATTTGACCACATTTTCCTTCCCCTTTTTAATGTTTATATTCATAATACAGGGTATGTGTACTTAACATTGTTGCTGATGATGAAGTTATGGGACAGTACATCTGATGAGCTGAGCAATGCCATGATAATTATGACAGTTTGACCACATCTTCCATTTTTAATTGTATATTTTTATAATACAGGGTATGTGGTACAAACTTTGTTGCCGATGAAGAAGTATGGGATAGCACACCTGATGAGCTGAGTAATGCCATGATCATTAGATTTGACAGTAACACATTCTCAACAAAACCAGCTGCATCAGGATTTTCCATTAAAGTTAAATCGATTGGAAAAGGTTTGTAGTTATTCTAGAAATAACTTTATTTCTACATTTTAAGCCCCACTTTGCAGAGCTGTATGGGAGATATAACTTTAAGCTTTGTGTGTCTATTTGTCCTTATGCTAAACGTTCTTGTTTAATAAATATTTTGAATAATTGGATTTCGACGATAGTTTATATGAAGGCTATTAGAAGATTTTTAGATAGAAACAATTTTTTTTTCTTTATTCTAAAATATTTTTTTAAAAATGTTATCAATTTTCAAACAGCTCATCACCAGCAACGTCTTTTTGTCGTTTTTACGTTTTTTTGTGCCATAGAATTGTCAGTTTTTCTTCGACCAATGGGTTTTGAATGTTCCCTTGGTATCTTCCGCCTATTTTTTTCATAAACGTTTTCCTTTGTAAACGTTCACTATCAACATGATTAAGTTCATTTGTCAGTAAAATTAAATACTCAGTTTCAATAACATCAAGGATTAATTGACATGCTCTAATGTTTTTACATGAGTATTGTTTGTTTCTTATTACAATTATATTTAAAATTTCTGAATAATCATGTACCTGTAAAATGTCGATATACAGTTCATACTGATTAAATAGCACATCCGGCAATCTCTGGTTGAGTGTTTGTAGTTCCAAAATACTCAAATAGTATATGGCTCTAGAGTAAGTTTGTCTACTATCTTGGTCCTTCCTGTTCCAAAAGACTGTTGAGTAGAAAAAGTAGGAATAGCGATCCGCTGTTTTGCGTAGCGTGACCTGGTGGCCCGTGCCTTTCGAGGATCTCTTACGAGCTTGTTTCTCCTTAGCGTTAGCGGACTGAATCTTCCTTACTGCAACCAATCTAATACGTTTTTCATCTCTAAAGCATCATCTGCAAGATAAATCTGCACATGGTACTTCGGTACAGACATGATTTATAACAAACTATCTAAAATTGTCCGTTAATAAATTTCGAAATTATTAGAAACTAAGGTTTCAACTCCCTAAGACAAAGTTGATCTTAGATGGATTTGTCTAATTTTTGTTTCGTCGTTTTTGGTAATATAGCTCTTCAACTGTTTCGGTTCTTGTACATCTTTGGCTTTCAAATATTCGGCTTTGAGCGTTCCTGATGAAGGTAAATCCAGAAAAGCGCTTCGGACGAATAAAATTTATAACGTGTTGTTTTTATTTTTTTTCAGCCAATCTCTGACTTGTCCTCTATTCTAATTTGCTTTAATAGTTTAAATAGGGTCTTCAAGAAGCTTTGCAGGTCGAACATACCTCTTATTTTTAATGTACTCAACAGCTTGATTATGCATAATGCATATTTCATTGGATGATAGCTGTTTATAAAATTTTGAATTTTAGTAACACGGCGGTTGAAGCTTCATTCTTATATCTTTTACCTTTTTATCAATTTTTTTAATGCTTGGGTTATGCAATTTTTAGTTAGTAGATAGTTAGGCCAATTTAACAGTTTAAACTGGTATGCATCCTTACAAAACTTCACCGATGTAATAAATGGATCTTAATTATAAATTTAATACTAAACAGAAAACAATAAACTTGCGGAAAGATGGTATACCGCAAACAAAAGGTGCAAAGGTTTTTTGTACACCATATCCGGATTTCGACAATTAATGTCTCGTCAGTGATGTTAGGAATCGAAACGGTATTTGGAAAGCCATACAATTTACCTCAATTTAGGATAGACTCTGGAATTTTGAAAGAGTCGAAATAGGATGAACGGATCATATAAACCCGAAGGCAAATATAATACAAGCCCAAACGAAAAAATATAAACAAGTCTAAATTGAAAACAACGTTCAAACCTATGATTGCGTTGGATAAAAACCGCAATTTTTATACGTGTGCATGCAAAACAAATTTTTTGTTAGAGGAGTCTAAATACAGCACAGACAATTATATATATATATATATAAATCGTCTAAACAACAGCCCAACAATGTTAGATCTGTAAATTTGCGTAACAATTCCATTTTCATGCCTTATATATCATGTACTGTGTTACGACGCTAGATAAAAACTGACGAGGAAAGGTAACACCCGGCCACCGAAAGCTTTATTATTATAGAGCCTAGGTGGTTGAGTGGTCTAGCGCGTTGGGCATAGTGCAAGGTGATTTTGTGCCACGATTTCGCAGTAGCATGAGTTCCAATCCCGGCAAGGGAAGAACAAAAAATTTGCTTCCGCAAATTTACAGATCTAACATTGTTAAGCTGTTGTTTAGACGAATTATATATATACAGAATGTATTTTCAGCCTTGTATCACCATTACTGCTGTTGATCCGATGGATAAAATCTGTTGTAGAGTCGTCACTGGTTCAGACGTACTTATATATATGCCGCAGCTTTATTGTTTTCTGTTTGGTATAAAATTTATAGTTAAGATCCATTTATTACACCTTGTGATCCGTTTTTTTGGCAATCGCTTTAACCTGCTAGTCAAATGCGTTTTGTTAAAATATACTTTTTCACTTTTTTGGTCTTTTGGAAAATGTTGTTTGTGCTATATTTAGACCCCTCTACGTAGAAATTTGTTTTGCATGCACACGTATAAAAATTGCCGTTTTTATCCAACGCAATCATAGGTTTGAACGTTGTTTTCAATTTAGACTTGTTTATAATTGTTTGTGCTTGTATTATATTTGCCTTCGGGTTTATATGATCCGCTCATCCTATTTCGACTCTTTCAAAATTCCAGAGTCGATCCTCAATTGAGGTAAATTTTATGGCCTTCCAAATACCGTTTCGATTCCTAACATCACTTAAGAGACATTAATTGTCGAAATCCGGATATGGTGTACAAATTTTTGCACCTCATGTTTGCGGTATACCATCTTTTCCGCAAGTTTATTGTTTTCTGTTTGGTAATAAATTATTATAAGATCCATTTTGTTACATCTGGTGATCCGTTTATTTGGCAATCGCCAATGGCAGTCAGCAGGGTTTAAGAACATCAGTTGTTCGAACTGCTAGTCAAATGCGTTTTGTTCAAATATACTTTTTCACTTTTTTGGTCTTTTGGAAAATGTTTTATATATATATATATATATATTTCAGTACAAATTAGCATTTTGTTCTTGTGCATAATTCATTTGCAATCACTACATGGTTCTCGTGGTATTGTAGGTTTGATAACCACTTGTGTTAAATTAAAGACTTTGCAGCTGTTTCGTAAATGGACATAAAATGTCATGACTCTTAATTTTGTTTCAGGATGTATCAGCAACCCTTGTGTATATGGAAAATGCAGCAGTCCTGAGGGTACCAGTGACTATACATGTACATGTTACCAAGGTATAACAGGGAAAAACTGTGATGTACTAAGTAGTGAGTATGATGTAACCATAGATCTTTGTTTTTTACAGCCCCTATCACGGAGTATGAAGTCTACTGCAATAACATAATCTTCCCGTTCATGAATCCGGTTTTTTTCTATCTGATTTTGTGTCTATATTTTTTGTTACATATTACTTGGATGTCGTATGTAGCATGATTTGAAATTTGATCTGGATTTTTATACTTTTGATTTTTTTTTGTCCAATGAGACTTCAGACATGTGAATAAGTTTCTCTGAAACGCGATCATGTGCTAAGAGCTCTTTTTGGCCTAAAAATTGATGTACGATATTTGCATCAAATAATTGATAAAAAATTTCTGCCTAAAAATCTTAAAATTGCACAGTTTTGATACTTAATTTACTGTCCAAAAACCATTTGAAAGGTAAAAAAAATCTGTATTTTAACGCATATTCGTTTTACAAAAAATCGAATCACAGATTCAAGGCTTATATCGATAGTTTCGTACGTCAGACACACGTTTCAACTACATAACGTTCATCAGGTGCACCCAAATTAAAACAGTACCCTCTTTTTTATTATCCGGTCATAAAGCTAGGAAACTAAAGTTCCAACTCCCTCAAGCAAACTTGACCTTAGGTGAGTTTGGCTATTATTTTTATGTAATTTTGGGTCATATAGCTCCTCTCGTCGTTAAAAACTTATACATCTCTGGCTTTCGATTTTTTTGCTTTTAGCGTTCCCGATGAAGGTAAATCAAGAACAGCTCTTCGGATGCAACTGGTTCATATTCAAAAAGTTTTATTTTCATTTGGAAGGCAAAACAAATAACAAAGTTGAAACGCATTGAAAACCAAAATTCCAAGCAGAGTGCCAAATCTTGTTTATCGCCATCTATGCCTGGTGGTAGAAAAACCTTAGTATTCGAATGATTGTATTATTTAATGAACAGTAGATTTACAGAAAATAACCGTATCAATGATATATCACGCCAGCACATGAGCGCTGGCTACTGGGCTGGTGATAATCTCAGTGACGAAACGTCATCCAGCCGTGAATTGGACCCAGTGGTTGTAAAAACTCATCAAAGATACAGGTCTTATGATTAAGAAGGATAGACAAGCTTTTCGTCTACATATTCATCCGCAGTGCTTGAATTAATTGAAATGCTATTAAATTTCATAAAACTCCTTAATATCGCCCAATTACGTATAATTTGCCTCAAGGTAATTTTTAATGACGTGAGGATATTCTCCTGCAATTTTTCTGCAGTGTAATATCACTGTTCTCTAATTAAATGCCTTCTTGAACATTTCGTTTTATTCTTTAAACTAATTTGAATATGCAAATGACGAGTTGTGTCAATACCTTGCAGCTGTTTATTAGTTTTATCTTATTTCAATTAAAAAAAAATTGAAATCTTCAAATTAAAAGTTTAAATTTCATTTAAAAACAGACACGACCTTTGCTAGCCAACAATTGCTTAGTTCGTTCTAAATGAATGACATTTTAAATGGTTTGGGTAAAACCTATTATGGTAATTTCTAGCATTCAAATTTATTTTCTATGTGAACTTTCACATGACTATATATATTATTTATCAATTATGACCACTAGAAAAATGAGGAAGATACCAAAGGGACACTGAGACTCATAAGTGAACGAAATACTGGCAACACCATGGCCAAACAAATGAAATTCGACGAAGAGACTAACAACAGTTTAGTAACTTGTCTGATTTCATTGTGAAAATAAGTACTTTATTCAAAATATTATATCTATTACATCTGAACCAGGCTCTGCTTACCAGTTCGGAAAAAGTGAGATCTGGCCGATATCTTGTAGGATTCGTGATGATAAGTAATGAGTTTTCTATGTACGTTTTGGTAGAATGGTGTTATTGTTTTTTGCCATTGTATTGCCGGTTTTTCTTCGACTTTTGGTTTTTGGTTGTGCTTTTGGTATATTCTGGATCTGTTTTTATCTAACAATCAGTACTTTCTTTAGGATCATCAGTAGTCAAATGTACGTTTGAGTATGGAGAAAGGTGCATTTTTGAAACAGAGGCAAATCATCAGCTTAATTGGGACTATCAAAATGTAAGTTAAGAATAATATGCCATTTCAGAATCTAACGCCTCCTGGGAATATATTTTAAAAAATTACAAATAAATGTTATTTCAATTTGGTGAACAAACAATGAAATATTCCTTAGTCCTTTAGATGTTGAAATGGTAAATAACTAATACAGCAAATTTCATACTTGATAGAAATGCGATCGTGAAAGAAAGCACTCTTCACCAGAACGAAAGAGCGTAAGTTATTCTATTTTCGAAAGCTAATAGCTGATGTGAATTTTTGGATCTCGTTCCATATAATTGTATGAATTTCAAGATTACCGGTGATAATATATACGTCACTTTTTGTGGCGTTGATCCATTCATGTGACGCGCAATTTGTGATGTCATGTGCTGTCGTTAATTCATGGGAGATGTCCGTTGTTATTCTGCGGTTTACATGTTTTAATGTACTATAATATTATTTATTTATGTATTTCTTTGTGCTGAGTGTTCTTGCGTTTGTTTGTACTTTATTCCTGTCACGTAGTATTGTCATTTTAGCGGTGTTTTTTAACATTGCCATATAAACGGGAGGTTTGTCTAGCCATAAAACCAGGTTCAACCCACCATTTTTTCTTAAAATGCCCTGTACCAAGTCAGGAATATGGCAGTTGTTATCAAAAAGTCCGTTTCTATGTATGTTGGCGTTTGTTTTTGTTGCAGTTCAGTATTTCTGTTGTTCCGTTTTTTTCCTCTTATAGTTGATGTGTTTCCCTCGGTTTTAGTTTGTAACCCGGATTTCTTTTTTAATCGATTTATGATTTCGGAACAGCGGTATACTACTGTTGCCTTTATAGACTAGGATTTGGTGGTGTTACATCTTACAAAGTCTATCCAAATTATTTAAGCATAGAATTCCGCTCAAGCCGGTGCTAGGGGTCGTATTAAACTTGCAGTGAGGTTAGATTTTGTTTGCTACGTGTTGAAGGCTTCACTATGACTTGTAGATGATGAACAGCAATAAAAGCGGTGTTCCTTTACTTTTTGTGTGTTTTGTGCTGTGCATGTACTGATTTTGTGTTTTGATGGATACCACATATCGTTTGTTTTTCTATTAGGAATCTTAGTACAAGTACAATCTACACCATGCAGGTACACTTTTCAATCTTCTAATAAATATTTGCATCGATTAATCGTTAATATGCTGTGTCCTAATCTCGCATGATATAAGTCTCCCAGAGTATTATGGAAGATTATGTTCCTGATAAAAAAAGACGTATGTTCAGTAAGATTTAGCGAGGGGATCAACGTACGAAATATGCATGTAACATACTAAAGATCGACAACTTAGTAACCCCCCCCCCCCCCACGCCCCCCCCTATATTTTCACTAACTGGGTATTTGCCGCAAATGGGTGTATAAAGTGGAGCATCAATGGAACACACAATGTGGAAGGAGAGGTTTGATATTGACGGGACATTTTTTGAACTGCCTGAATGACCCTGCAGTCCCCGACTTTATTGTTAATATGCTTACTTACACAGAAACACGGTGTAAAAAGTTTTATTCATGTTTGTAAATTTGTAAATTAGCTTATATAACTGTTGCGAAAATAGTTTCCAACATCTCTGTGTCAGTAGAATTTTGGATACCGACTTAACAAAATTTTGTGAAAATAGGATTCTTTGTCCGAAAATTTGTGGCTGTGTGTATGTTTGTTATTGGTATTACTATAAATTACCATTCATCATTTCACAAATTCTATGATTGATGCTTTTGGAGTTGTCTCTCTATACTCATTTGTTTTTATATCTTCACATAACGCTGTATTTTATCCATTCCCCGGAAGCCTCCAGGTACCATCAAAGCGTGTGAAAATTTAACGGAGATTATATTCCACGGAGATAACATTTCGACGATTATGTCACTTATCAAAATAGTTAGTATTTTTGAAGGGAAAAGTTGTACAAAATTTTAATGGAGACACGGATACAAAACTTTTGGATGTTTTATTTATATTCAAAATTGCCGTTTGTTTAGAATACATTATTCCACGGATATACCATGCTTAACCAATCTCTGCAGTTTTCATCTGTGTTTTCTAGACTAATATGAATTAAACTAAACGACCATTGATATATACACAAATATTTGTGGTTACGTTAAAATCAAATTTAATTAATATGATGCCCTAAACACTGCGGATAATTTTGGCATGCATGAGTCTTTTTACTTGTGCATGAAAGGAAATTACACGTTTACGAAGGAATCATTATCATGGCCTGTACGATCATTATCGCAGTTCCCTATGTACTAAACTTTATAAAAAGTTTCCTCAGCTAGAAGTATAAAAAGGCCCGGTTATATAACGCGAAGTCGTTAGTTTTGTCTTGTTACTGTAGGAATGCCAATTAATGTTAGGACTTTTAACAATGATTAGGGACTGCATAATTTATGGGCGTTTGTTGACATAAATATAAAAATCACTGGTGTAAGTATCGAGGGTTAGTATACAAAAACAATATATGCATATAGTCATTCAAAATCTCGCGTAGTAAGAAATCTGGGACATATCAGTTTCAGTCCAGTAAGAGGTTCTGCTATCACTTTGTTTACATTCGTAATTAGTATAGAAAATCTTAAAGACAAATATGTTAATTTCAAGGTCAATCTACATTCTATTCATACCAAATTTTTTTTTTGGAAAAGTTCATGACAATATTTTACCAATTTTAGTGTATTTGTCTTTTAACTTGAAAAATATGATAGATAAACAGAAACTGTAGACAGGAAAACTCTTGAGTTTTGCAAGATCTATAAAAATATGAATATGAATGAAACCATCAATTGACTTCTGACTGAAGTTATTATACTCAAATAATGAATTTTACACCCCCACTCTAAACGTGTGGACTATATTTCATTTACCTTGCCTGTCCGTCCTTCTGTTCGTCCAGTCGTCCCACAATTATTCCGTCAAACATTTTTCAGGTACTTCTGAAGATAAGTGATTACAGAGTCAACTGGAACACTAGTAACTGTTTCCGGAGATAACAGTAACAAGTTAGCTCAAGCCTTCTAAACAAAATTAGAAAAAAAAAAATAGTTTTGCAGCTGTATATATATAATGCGTGATTTTATTTTGAATAAAAACTATTTCAAGAGTGCATTATTGATTTTACAATTTATCTTTAAAACACTTTAATCATGAGTACTGCAACTTTGATATTTTTGGAAATATCCTGGATGAATGGGAAAGTTTCTTCTTTAATCGAAACTACTTCATAGCTGAAGAGTTACAAATAAGAAACCAGAAAAATTACAAATTTAAGAAAAAGGGAATTTCAAATCAGGATAAAAGGAATTAACAAAAAAGAAAAAGTTACACATTTAAAAAAGAGATACTAATATCACAAGTCAGGAAAGATATAATTAAGAAAGTGGAAATGTTCGAATGGTGTTATGAGATTTGACATCGGTAAAAGACTGTTATTTCAATTTACTTGCTATTTGTTGTTAAATGTTTCAATCTGTATAAATGCATTGTTGTTCTTACTCATAAAAAGTGAAACAAGTGAGGGTATATAAATTAATGCTATCACCTGTATTGACATTTTCGATATCTTTTGTGGACAGAAAGGTACACCATCAAAAAATACAGGACCAGATAATGCTCACAAAGGGTACCAGTATGTGTATATGGAAGCATCAGGCACAAGCAGACAGGCTGGGGATAAAGCTGTGATGTCTACAAATATACAGTTGCCGAGTAAGTTTAGAAAATCCTAGCCGTATTTATTTTTCAAACCAAGCTGACAACAGGTAGAAAACAATTTGACAAATTTCGCAAACAACTTTAAAAAGTGGCAGATGTTATATGTACCAAGGGGACATCCAAAATGCATAAGTCGAAGAAAAACTGTAAACGCCTTTGCAAAAAAACGAAAAAACGACGAAAGACGAACAAGTCCACAAAACAAAACAAAAACTAAAGACTGAGCAAAACAAACTTCACCAATACCCGGGGTGAAAACAATTGACCCGGATGTGTAGGAAGTTCCTGCTCCAAATATGGAAACCATCATGTTGCAAGTATAGATCAGGTGACTAGTTTCATTCGGTGGTGTCACAATCAAGGAAAAATGAAGTATCTATTTTTGTTTTCTTGATTTTTGATAAAAAGTTAAATATAGTTGAATTGCGATTTTTTTTAAAGTTTTATCCCTTCCTACCGTGAATTTATAATATTTCAACAAAAGTTGTTTCCGTATGGCTTACTCATAGATATGAACATAAGTTTTACCCTGCCATACTCAAATGTTAAGATCTTCATTTTAATGTAGTAATTCTGCCTGATTTGATGTATTTATAGATGTCAGCCAAGTTATGACGTTCTGGTATCACATGAAGGGTACTGGTATGGGTACTTTAAATGTATACTCTGAAGGGCCGACTACAGTAAGGTCAAATATATGGACTAGATCTGGATTTCAGGGCAATGATTGGATCAAAGGACAGGTCAACATACCTGCTATTAATGGTCTTAAGGTAAGTAAATACACTCATCATAAATACCAAGATTGACATTTTGTACACCAGACGCGCGTCTTCAAAAGTCTCATCAGTGACGCTCGAATAAAAAGGTAAAAGTAGCCTTTCCACAATTTTTTCAACTAGAGGCTCTAAAGAGCCTATGCCGCTCACCTAGGTCTATGTGCATCTTCAACAATGGATATTCTCCATCTTTGTGGACTAGAATAGAATTCTGACAAAAACCTCTTCTTTGTTGATAATCTTGCTGATCATTTTAACTTATTTAAGTTTCTATCTTTCTAATATAGTTTTTCAGATAGTAGGCAACAACGCAAAAAAAATGATAAAAATCATTATTAAAGAGAACAACTCCAATAAGGGGTCATCAGACAAATTGAACCACGTTGACTTATTTGTAGATCTTGTCTTGCTGATCATTTTTGCTTATCTATCTATCTACTATAGTTTTTCAGATATAAGGTAAAAACACAAAAAAATGGTCAGAACCATCATTAATGGACAATAACTCCAATAAGGGTCGTCAGACTATTTCAACTATACAACATAATTGTAGATACTGTCTTGGTGATAATTTTTGCTTATTTAGATTTGTATATATCTATTATATTTTTTTTCAGATATTAAGCAAAAACACAAAATAATAGTAAAAATCATCATTTAAGGGCAATAACTCCAATAAGGGGTCATCAGACGATTTCAACCATGTTGACTTATTTGTAGAACTTATTTTGCTGATCGTTTTGCTAAATAAAGTTCCTATCTATGATCATTTTCAAGATGATAGGAAAAATTTAAAAAGTTGGTAAAATTCGTCATTAAAGGGTAATAACTCCTATAAAAAGTCGTCTGACAGTTTGGAAGTAATCGAAAATATGTAGATCTCATCTATCCAAACATTTCTGCCTTTGGAAGATTTTCTCTATTTATAGTGGTTTTCAAGATAATTGACAAAACTTGCATTTTACCCCTATTTTTAGCCATGTCGGCTATCTTGGTTGGCAGGCGGGGTCATCGGACACATTTTTTAAACTAGATAACCTAATGATGATTGTGGCCAAGTTTGGTTAAATTTAAATCCGTAGTTTCAGAGAAGAGGATTTTTGTAAAAGTTAACGACGACCACGACGGACGACGACGACTGACGACAGATGCCAAGTGATGAAAAATGCTCAGTTGGCCCTACGGGTTAAAAAAAGAACAGGGAGGTAAGATTTGTTTGCTTGGCCATATTTTTATGGCTTGTACAAATCTAAACATAATGTGTTCACGAACAAGCTGCTTATCGCATTGTTTTAATCACCAAGCAAAAATACCGTATTACCGAAAAATTTACATGTAATAATGCTTTGTTTGTTGATTCAGGACTTCACAATAATACCTCTGAAGGACAAACCGAAGGTTGAAAAACGGGCATGCTTTCTATACTGCCAATCGGATTGTCATGATCGCTTATTAACTCACTTATGATTCCCCACGCCTAGTTTATGTTTTTTTTCAAAATGGCTTAGGTTCTAGGTTGCACAAAGTCCTGTTTTGTGCAACTAGCGCCTCCCCCAGTTATAACCTAGAACCAACAAACTTTCAAAAATATTTGTATATACATCACCAACGCACACTCCAGTTAATATACAGATTTAGAGAAGTTCACTGATTTGTCAGATGCTCATTTTTAAGCAACATTTTGTTTGAAGGTTTTTTATTTTGTGTAATTACCTACTTCCCAACTCTTTGTCCCCTTGTGGAGATCTTTTGCTGATTTTTTTTACGATTGATTAATTTACCTATTTGTCAACTCCATTCTTTATGAAGAGTACCAACTTTGTGTAATTACTTCTTGCAATTTTCAACACCAAATTCTTCTGAAAACATACCTTCTAGAATGTTCGTAGCATTCATGGATGATGTGTACTTTATTTATAGAATTTTTGCTGATTTTTAAAATGGTAAAATTTAATAATTTTTGACAACATTCTTTATGGAGAATACCATATTTGATGCAATTACCTCCTACAATTTTCAACCACTAAAATGGTTTATAAACGGATTTTCCTTGGAGTTCGGTATTTTTGTTATTTTACTTTTTATTAGATTTGACTTTAAGCATGCATGAATATATCACCTTTAAATATCACACTTGCCACATTCCCGGTTTCCATTCGCAATTCTTACTAAAAAAATACTAGCTTTAACTCTATGTCCTGTTCTAAGCTTGCTAGTGAAAATCATATCTGCAAAAACTTATTTTTGCCAAAAAAATGTCAAAAAGGCAACATGAGAACAAATAACTTGTCTGTAGAATATTGTGTGCCTATAAACCATAATGAATTGTAATTTGTTTTAGATATCAATTGAAGGTATTCGTGGATCTGGCTGGTCAAGCGACATTGCAATAGATGATATTTCACTTATCCCTGGAACAAGCGGTAAGATTTGTAATACTCTTCCTAAAAACATTCTTAATAACAGAATTTACTTCAAACATTCGAAATCAATTTAGATATAGAAATAAGTTGAAATTTGTCATATCCATAGTTCGAACTAACAATGTATTCAAATTACGGAATTTCTCACAGAAATGTTTAGATAACGTCACACTAATGTAATTATCTGCCATGCTCACCATAAGTCTGTAACACGGCTCTGATTCGTCTCGTCATAAACTGAATTAAGCGTCGAATTCAGTCCCAAGGCATTCTACGTCATTCTTATTGAAGAGCCTGCTGGAGGTCTTGGAGATTTTGAGCCACTGGTTGTTGACTGCGCTCGTGCTTATCCAAATCATCCCTTAAATGGTCTATTTGGTTAAATTCTGGTGATGTCGGACGATCTAGGAAAGACTGTAACGATCTGGTTCCCAACAATGTCAACTGTAGCACGGATAGTGTGCGGTCGAGCGTTGTCGTGCCTGAAAATAAACAGACGGAGGTCCATGAGAAATGAGGTCGTAAATCTTTGTCTCTGTGACAACATGGAGAAGCGGCATTTATACTGCCTGTGATGTGCAATAGCCGTGTTTTTTTTGTGTAGGATCAGGCTTCCCAAATAATCACACTTCATCCATCGAAATTGTAGACCTCGATGACACAATTCCATGCGAAACTTTCATTCAAGTGTCTGTATCCTTGGATACGGCAATTTCGTCTATGCAAAAGGAATCTTGATTCATCACCGAATCAGACGCACTTCCAGTTATTCAGGTCGCATACCCATACTGTATTGCACCATCCGACTCTTTGAAGACGGTGATGTCTTATCAAGTTTGGCATGTAAACCATTTTCACTTACACGGTTCTTGATAGTTTGTACCGATATCCTACGAAGACCTGGAATTTTCGAGGCTGTTATAGTCCGTATCCTCATGTTAATTTTTGTATTAAATGATATATCTATGAAAAGTCGCAAGAACCTGCTATAATATTATTTCAACTAATTTAAGACTTGATTCGACAATCAAATCTTGGTTTTATGTTTAAATAGAATAGATCCTCTTTTTTCAAAATGTAATGAGGATGTGGATTGGGTTTACAGAATAGAGAATAATGTGCAAAAATTGCAGAATAAAGGGTCCAAAACATAATGAATAGAGAAAATAGGGTAAAAAGATAAAGAATAGAGAATAATGGGGTGCTAAAATATAAGAATAGAGAATGACAGGCAATAGTTATAAAGAATAGAGAAAAATGGCATAAAAAATGATAGAATACAGAAATGAAGGACCCCCTATCCAGTCTCCTGATCAATCCGCATCGATGAATTTGAAGAATTAATGTATTTAATACAAACTTAATGTTAACAAAGATATATCATTAGATATTACTTAATAAGTAATTTTGGAATGAAACGTTTTTCATGTAAAAATCCGTCTTTATCACTTGAATGACATTAATCTGATAATTTTTCTATGTAATTGATTTAACTGACTTAATACATTAAACATGCATAAAAGCAAGATCACCATAAAAGGTCCTTACATCCTGTATTTAGTGTGCATAGTGGGTACCCAAAAGTTCTTCAAATTCGTACTTTATTTGGCCTTTTAAATTTTTTATTAAGTCTTTTGTAGACGAAATGGGTGTCTGGCGTACACAATTATAAGCCTGTTACTATTTTACATGAGTTTTTATAAGCATGGTTTTGTCATTCCTATAAGTCCATTATAAGCCTACTGGCATGGTATCTTAGGTGAGTTTCTGTAGGTATGGTTTTGTCACGACTTTATATCTATCATCTGTATGTTGTTTAGCTTTGTCATCTAAACAATTGACAAGAGGAGGGACGACAGCATAGACGCTGTGTGCAAAATTTGTCCGGTCACATGGTTTGAATTCAGTTTCCGTTCGGCAATTTCAAAATAAGGTGAAAGGTCGATTTGTTAATATTTTTATATCAAATGTACTCTATATAATTCATGGGAAATATAAAAAGATTTATCGATGATAAAAAATCTGTTAAATATCAAATATTCACTGCATTTTTTCTTTATGTTGGGTAGATTATATCATTAAAGAATATTTCTCGTAATGGCTAGATTTTTATGTAACCTCTGCCAAAATAAAAAACATAAATTATTTTTTAACGTTTGCTAGTAAAAAAACTCAATTATATATCAGTTAAAGAATAATGTCCATACATTCTAAAATGTAAAAGGTCTCCTTTAGTTTTCATCCGCTGCTCCATCATGAGTTGCTAAAAAACCGACCATTTTGAAATAACGTGTCCCAATACATATACGTAGGTAAATACGTTAACCTTATTGCACAAACTCTAATGTTTGTATATTTGAAATTAAATAAAATTTTGTCATACTACATACTATGTAAAGTAGCTTTTAATTTTTTAATTTTGCGTTATTTGTGTATTGGACGTGTTGCGTTCGCTCTTGGGTTTTATTTTTAGATACAGTCCAAAATTGGTAATTTATGTATTTAACATGTTTAATGAAATTAATAAAATGGTATCGAAAAAACTGAAAATATTATGAATAAAACAACGAATTGATTATTCAATGCCGAATTAGCACTTATTATAATCCCACGGGAATTACAAGTTAGATATGTAATGAATTTGTATACTTCCGGCAAATAAACTGATAATCTCATTTAACAAATTTCGAATGTCCAGGTGATGTTCACACTACGAATTTCATGAAAACAATGACTAATCACATTCTCCGACCGTTGACAAAATGTGTACTATCTCTGTGTGTAGTCATCAATAAAAAAGTGCGCATTTCCCAACAAACCATGGAATATTTAAAAATAATTATACTAAATGAAAAAAATAAGGGTTGATTAAAGGAAAAATTAAATGTAAGCTAACCTGAAAATGTTTGTGAAGGAACATTTGCAATTACACTTTAACGTCTTCAGCAGCTACAGCAGGTGCTACAATAAAAATTCTCATATTAAGGTAATACGAGTGAGATCCTGTAACCAGCATTAGTTTCTAAATATAATTTTCTTATAAACAATAGAAACGAACAATAGAACTGACGAATTTTTCGAATTCTTTTCATTACTTATGTACTTATGATTTGAGATGGATTCATATATATTTTTTAATTCGAATGTAATTGGAGTAATCCAAACTAATATCTTTCTTAATTACAGGATATTCTCTTTCTTAACAGGTGGCAGCCAATTGCAAACATGTTCATTTGAAGTTGGTGCTTCATGTTTTTTGGTTGAAGCTACAAATGACGATTTTGATTGGACTTTTATATCCGTAAGTCGTAGCAAGCAATTTAATTATTATAATGATTAATATTATGATCAAGTTACCCTAGTGGATATGTCATAGTTGGCAGCTTTCTAATTTTCTCCTAAAGGGAGTGTCACTTCAATATTTAGAGTAATTCTTTGGTGTTAACCGTTTCTCTATGAGTTTTGATTGTCCCTTCGGTAAATTCAGTCACTTTGTAAAGCAACAGATTTTTAAGTTACTTTTGGGCCTTATATTGTGACAATAAAAACAATGATATTCTACAATCATTGTTCATAGTTTTCTCACCTGTTAACAGCAACATTTTTGCTTGCGTCCTAGCATCCCCTCGACTCCGTTCGTCCGTTTAGCCACTGCCTGTTTGCTGATAGTTAGATATTTTACAACACTCGTTGTACAAAGAAAATTTTCATCAAAGTGTTCTTAGATATAAGAAGATGTGGTATGAGTGCCAATGAGACAACTCTCCATCCAAGTCAAAATTTATAAAAGTAAACCATTAGAGGCCACAATACGGTCTTCAACACGAAGCCTTGTAAGCTATAAAGGGCCCCAAAAAATTACTAGTGTAAAACCATTCAAACGGGAAAACCAACGGTCTAATCTATATAAAAAACGAGAAACGAGAAACACTTATGCACCACATCAACAAACGACAACTACTGAACATCAGATTCCTGACTTAGGACAGGTGCAAACAAATGCAGCGGGTTTAAACGTTTTAATGGTACCAAACCTTCACACTTTTTCTGAAATAATAGTGTAACATCACAACATAAAAAGACACACTATAAAATATCAACTGAAATAGCTTAACTCAATCAAAGGACATATTAACACCATTGCACATACACTGAACAAATAAATTTGACCTATGACACAATGTAAATACAAAATAAATAAACTAAGGGAAGAATAATAAAAGTAACATGTTATATCGGTAAGAAATGTTAAACAATTAAAGAAAAACAATATTGCCTATAATTGGGAATGGTTTAATATTTTGTCCGCAGCTTGGTAATGTTGAGTTGTAACGAGTAAGAAATCTTTACAGCTATTGTGCAGTCACTTCTTGTGTACCGATAGTTATAGTTTTATAAAACTCATTGTACAAGGAACATTTTCGTCAAAGTCTTCTTGGCTTCAAGAAAAAGAATAATCAGTGATGCGCCAGTATAAATGTTACCTCAATCAATTGTAAGACCAGACCCAAAAGTGGTCTCTTGTAATTTTTTTTAAGTGTTCTATTTTAACAATTCCTTTTGTTCTAAAAGTGATTGGTTTTGAACAATTTTGTTCTTAGGAAAGGATTTTGTTTTAGAAAATTTCTGTTGACAGATCGTTTTGCAATGTTTTATAGTCGTTGATCAAAGCTGTCACGTTGAGATTGAGTTTGAATTTGCATGACGGGTGTTGCATGGTTAGCTGTAGACGTTTGCAATGTTGAAGCATCGGATCTTGCTTCGTTTCGAGTTCGCGCTATTCCTTCAGTGTTTTTTTTAAATCTTGATTTGTTTATTTAACATTGATTTATGAGTTTGAAAATGTTATACCGCTGTTGCCTCTTGCGTAAAAATACGTTATAGTCATATAGTCTGACTAAGTTCCCTGTTCATGTTTCTTTAATGACGTTATATCTGACCACCAACTTGCGCTCATAAACTTGTTTAACCCAGCCACATTCTGTATGTCTTTCATATGCATTTATTTGAATTATTTTGTTATAAATAAGGCCTTTTGTTTTCTCAATTGAATTGTTTCATATTTTCCATGAAGGTGCCCGTCATAGCCGACAATACAGTATGGGTTTTTCTAATTGTAGAAAGCCCTACGTTGGCCTTTAATTGCTTACATCCACTTCTTGAAATTTGGTGGAGAGTTTTCTCTTGGCAATCATACCATATCTCCTTAGTTTTATAACCTCCGTGTTCATGTCACTTTGATGACGATAAATCCAGTTTAGTTCCCTGTTTATGTCTAATCATGTCATTAACAGAGGCTATTTTTTATATTTTTGGAATGTCATTATACAGAACTTAATAAATTTGTTACTATACTGAAGTTACCAAAAGCACTCAATCGTATTTTTTTTGGTGAATTTTTAGGTGCCAATTGAGCTTCTAATGTTATTTTTTCTCTTTAATTTGTATAAACTCACCCTGTTCAATCCAACTGTTGCCCTTAAGTTGTTCAGCTCATGTTTCTGAAAAATTTATTACTATAGGTCTATAAATTGAAAAGTAGTATTATAATATTATACATATAATAATATTTAGGGAGAATCTCCATCTCCTGGAACAGGACCAAAAGCGGCATATGAAGGAGGCATGTACAAATACATAGAAGTATCGTCCCCATTGAGCAGCAACTCTGTTGCTATGTTGATGTCGTCTTCATCATTAAATGGTAAATAGTATTTTCTTATTGCTTGTTGTTTTTATTTTTTTCAACCATTCTTCTCTTATATATCACAAATGTTTAAGGCTATCAGTTAACCAACATCGTCGGCATTACTGTAAATAGAACGCATTGATAAAAGCAGTAAAATCGTGTATTTTCTAATTTCAAAGTCATGCAAATGCCCAATGGTCACCTGACAAACTGCATTCAAACTTGACCGACAACGTTACACTAAAAATATGCAATATGACATCCAAAAAAAAAATCAAAATCTTGTCAAAACCCATTTGTGACAAAACGATAGGTTTTTAGTGATATATATAATTATGTTAATTTTGTAATATCTATGGCTAATGTCTTCACAAGCTGGTAATAACCATAATTGACATAACAATGTTAAGCCCAACATTCAATGAAAATGTGTCGACAAATTGTATATAAGACAAATTACACAACTTTAATGATTTCTATTTTAAACTATGGTATTTTACCAAAATGGACCTCTGGTATTGAATCAACATCACTTTAAATCACAATTTGGACAAAAGCATAGTAAATCTTTTACACATCAGAATGATATATTTGAGAGCGTTATGAAATATAACTGATGGCTCAAACTGCCGGGAAAGAAATGGACATAACAGTGAAAAAGAGATCTAAAAAATTTAATTTCCTAATCCCGATTTCCTGTTTAAGTCTTTTTACAAATCGTGCTGTTGTTAAGTTTTAACAAGACATTTTGTCATGTGTCAGGGCGTTTTAAAGCTTGCTATTCGATAAGAGCTTTGCTAAACTTCTATGTCATTTGGTCTCAGGTGGATAAGTGTCTCATAGCCAATCATATCACATTCTTATGTATATACAAAAGTTTAATCTAGTGACATTATGACATAATAAGTTAATTCCTCCCCTTATCAAGATTGGATCTACCCTGTCTATGTAAAATGAAAAAATCAATCAGTTCAAAACGTTTATGAAATTAGACAATATTCAATTTGATGCTCTTAGTTGTCATTCTGGCGCTGTTTTTTGATTTGAAGATGACCGTTTGGCCTTTGACATTTGTAATTGATGATGACAGCTTTTATTTTCAGCTTTTAAACACAAAATTTTCTATATTAAAAAAGGCACGTTGAAAATGTGTCAAGCAAATCACAAACAATGTGCTTTTATATATATAAATGCTTCAATTCATAAGAGTCGAAAAATTATACATGCAACTTAACTTTAGTAGATCTAAACGCAAGTTGGTAGGATGAATTCGATCCGAATTGAATCTTTACAGGTGGTGACCACTGTTTGACGTTTGCATATCACATGTTTGGAGATGATGACATGGGAGATCTGACAATATCAACTGGAGTTACAGCCCCTGACAATGAACTGTTTAAAAAATCTGGTAACCATGATGACCAGTGGAACAAGGGGATGGTTACATTTACTACTAGTCCTGGAATGAAGGTTCTCTCAGTTGTTCATAAGAAATCATGTCTCCATATTTTTATATCGTTTTGACATCAGTATACTGTTCTAGAATAATTTTGATTTATTACTGAAAGTAATAGCTTTTTTGTAAATGTTTTAATCTACAAGTGATTAAGTCAATAATCTTAAAGATACTAAAGGGACATTCAAACTCATAATTCGAAAATAAACTGACAACCAAAAAAAAAAAGACAAGCAAAAGAAACAATAGTACGCAAACCACAACATAAAAAAACTAAAGACTGAGCAACAAAAACCCGCAAAAAAACTCGGGGTGATCTCGGGTGCTCCAAATTGGTTAGCACATCCTGCTCCACATGTAGTACCCGTCTTGTTGCTCATGTAAGTACAAACCCGGTGATTTCTGTACAATTCCGTAGGTTATATATAAAGGCAACAGTAGTATATCAACTTTTCCGCAAGTTTATTATTTTCTGTTTGGTATTTAATTAATAATAAAGATCCATTTTGTTACATCTTGTGATCCGTTTATTTGGCAATCGCCAATGGCAGTCAGCAGGGTTTAAGAACATCCGTAGTTCGACCTGTTAGTCAAATGCGTTTTGTTTAAATATACTTTTTCACTTTCTTGGTCTTTTGGAAAATGTTGTTTGTGCTGTATTTAGACCCCTCTACCAAGAAATTTGTTTTGCATGCACACGTGAAAAAATTGCGGGTTTTCAATTTAGACTTATATATATATATATATATAATTATTTTGGTGCTAAGCCCAATTACTATAAAATCAAATTCTTTATACGTATTTTCTTTTGCAGTTATTTGTAGAAGCTAATAAAGCAACAACATGGAAGGGAGATATTGCTATTGATGATATTCAACTTAAAAGTGGGAGTTGTGATGGTAAGAGTTTTACTCAAAAACGTTTCTCTATATTCTAAGGGAATGTGTCAGAGAGACAACACCCCGGCCAAAGAGAAGAAAACATAGTCTTGTATAGTTATGTAAAACAATAAGAAGCATGTGTACGCTAAAGGTAAAATACATGGAAATAAATTTAAAATAGAACTAAAAAAGACAATCGTTTATTACATTTTTGCTTTGAACAAGATCAAGTTTTTTTTTCAGACTGCTTAATATGAAGTCTTTACATATATTGATTGATATATTCATCTGAAAATAACATTATGCATCTATTACTAGTAGTAAAAATTTGTTTTGTACTAGCTGACAGTGACTTTGAGAACTCATAGATCGGTGTTTACTGTCCTTTGTCTTTCTGTTTGTCCTTAATGTTCCGATCTGTTGTGTGAAACCCTTTCAAATTGTTTCTTACAGTTGGTCTTATACTATGCTGTTACAACTGTCCCAGGTTAGGGAGATAGTAAAGTGCTCTCAAACATATCTATCCTTTCCTCATTTTTATGATCCTGTCCAGTTCAGGGTCTTGTGCTTAAGTGATTGTCGTTGGTTGCTGTCTGCCATAATTATTTTGTTTTATTTTCTGGACTAGGTTCAGACCGTTGGGTTTTTCTTTAGCATTGGTTTCGCCAATTGTGGAATGCAGTATGGAACCCTGTAGTTGTTTTCATCTCCGTATACTTTCGTCTGTTACAAATGGTTTTTTATTGAATATCCTGCCACATTCAAATATTTATATGAATGAGATCCAAAAATTCAAAACTTCCAAATAACATTTTCTGTCAATTTCGACGAATGCTGAATTTTCATGAGTTAATCTTTTATGGTTGAAATATTTAAGCAAAGTCAAAAGTACAAGGACATTTATTCATAGTTTGACTTTAAATTAACAGCAATTTGTTCTTTAAAGACCATGCTGGCTAAGAGCAAAACACTTTTGAGAAACCATTAATTTGATTGGTCTGTGAAAAGTCATTTTGACCTTCAATAGTAGAGTGAAATCGATCATAACATTTCAATAAAAGCACGTACTAGTACCTAACATATGGCTAAATGATATACCGTTAAAAAGCATATTATCTATACTATCTGTTTGGACGTTCATACAATATGGCTATGGTACAATTTCCTTCATATACAAATCGCACTAGTAAAACAAAAATTCCTAACTCAAAAACAAATTCAAAAAGGGAAGTCCACAATCACTGTCGAAATCAAACGTGATCAAACAAACGGAACGAGAGTTGTAAACAACTGTCATATTCCTTGCTTGAAGAAAATGATGGATTAATCCTGGTTAAATAGTTAGCTAAACATTCCAATTGAATGATATTAAACCAGTTTTGATCTGAAACTATCATTTTGATGTTAATAGCTCTGAAAAGACTAAACAATAAATTGATTAGTAATTTTTAGTTTTTCAGTTAATTTTATTCATTTCGGGAAATTCAGAACTATTCGCTTGCAGTCAATTAAAATATGTTCAGTATATAGCCATATTGTTCAGTAGTTGTTACTTACTTGAACACACCAAAATCATACTGAAATGTATGAAAAACTACCAAACAGTACTCAATCGACTGCACGCTATTTGACTGAACAGTACTTATTTGACCGCTTTGGATAAGTTGGAAAAATAAGTAAAAGTCTGATCATGAATGAATTATTTATTGTTTAGATATTTAAGATTATGTTTAGATCACTATGACCGTTTAAGACTGAAATAGATTTACTCTGTATATTCATAATCGCTTTATTTTACTGCTAATGTTTATTATATCATTCAACAAATTTCGAATGTCCAGGTGATGTTCACACTACGACTTACTTGTAATTAATGACACATCACTTTGAGATGTGCCGTGTGCAGTATATCATCCATTCTCTGACCTTTGAAATCAATTTGGACCATATCTTTGTGTAATCATCCATAAAAAAAGTTTACCTAAAAATGGTGATTAATTTGCCCACATATAACCTGTAAATATTTAAACATAATTATACTTATAATGAATTCTATTCATTGCTTATATGCCAATGATGTGACATGGGTTTATCTATATTTTCGAAAGTGATTGGAATAATCAAAACTGATATCTTTCTCTATCACAGCATATTCTCTTTCTTTACAGGTGGCAGCCAATTAGAAACATGTTCATTTGAAGTTGGTGCTTCATGTTTTTTGGTTGAAGCTACAAATGACGATTTTGATTGGACTCCTTTATCCGTAAGTCATTGCAAGCCATTGTATTATTTATAATGATTAGTATTATGATCACGATACCATAGTGAACATGTCATAGTTTGCAGCTTTTTAATTTTCCTAAAGAAAGAATTACCTCTAGAGAATTTTTAGAATAATATTTTGGTTTATCGGTTTTTCGTTGTTTAATGCATTCTGATTGTCCCTTTCATATGTTCCGTCTCTTTTGAAAACAACAAATTGTTACGTTATTTAAAGGCATGATAGTATGAAGAAAAGAAAATAATATTTTCTAAAATTATTGTTTATGTTTTTCTCACCTGTGGAAAGCAACATTTTTGCCGGCGTTGCCAAAGGCAAAATCAGGTCTATAGTAACCCCTCGACTCTGTCCGTCCGTGCATCCTTTTAGCCACTTTCTGTTTGTTGAAAGTTTACATTTTACAGCACTCGTAATACAAAAAACATTTGCATCAAAGTTTTATAGGTTTCTATGAAGGGGAATGGTACTATTTGTTTTGCAGCTTAGTAATGTTGAGTTGTAGCGAGGCAGCAGTGTTTACATTCACTGTGCAGCCACTTCCTGTTTGTCCTCATTAAGCCCCCTGTTCATTGCATTTTGATGAGGGAATATCCGACTTAACTCCCTGTACATGTCACTTTGATGACTTTATGTCTGACTTAGCTCCATGTTCGTGTCGTTTTGATGACATTATATCCAACTACGCTATCTGTAAATGTCACGTTGATGACGTTATATCCAACTAAACTCCATGTTCATGTCACCTTGATGACATTATATCCGACTAAGGTCCCTATTGATGTCATTTTGATGACGTTATATCTGACTTAGCTTCCTATTTATGTCATTTTGATGACGTTATATCTGACTAAGCTCCTTGTTCATGTCACTTTGTTGACGTTATGTTTGATTAAGCTCCCTGTTCATATCACTGTGATGACGTAATATCCAATAAAATTATATTCCTTTGATGACGTTGTATCCGACTAAATGCCCTGTCGATGTCCCTTTGATGACGTTATGTCCGAATTAGCTTTCTGTTCATGTGTCTTTCATGACGTTATAGTCAAATGAAGCTCCTTTTTTATTTCACTTTGATGACTTTATAGTCTGATTATTTTTGACTAAGCGTCCTGTACATGTCACTTTGATGACGTTATATTTGGCTAAGCTACCTGTTTCCGTCTCTTTGATGACGTTATAGTCAAATCATGCCATCGGCATAAGTTATTTTGTACATTTTCGGAATGCCATTATTCTGACATTAATAAATTTCACGCAATTTTTGTTTTTTCATGTGAATTTGCGATGTCAATTATGCTACTAAATGATTATTTGTTCATTGATTTGCATAACCTAAACCCCGTCCAATCAAAATGTTGCAGTGAAGTTGTTCAGCGTATGCACATTTCACTGAACAATTTACCAATATAGCGTCTTTAAATTGTAAAATAATATTATAATAATACTATACATATAAATATATTAGGGCGAAACTCCATCATCTGGAACAGGACCAAAAGCGGCATATGAAGGAGGGATGTACAAATACATAGAAGTATCGTCCCCTGTGAGCAGCAACTCTGTTGCTAGGTTGATGTCGTCTTCGTCATTAAATGGTAAAAAGTATAATTGGTTAAATGGAAATGAATTGGAAGAGATGCAGAATCACAAACCAAATAACATAATTAAAACAAAACATAAGTTTACATTACATGACTAGTGATACGTTCTTTATTGTCCATATAACATTGTTAAAACAAAACATAAGTTTACATTACATTACTAGTGATACGTTCTATATTGTCCCTTCACAGATGGTCATTATAAATTTTTTATATTGCTAGGTGCTGTTATTTTTTCAAACATCTTTTCTGAAACATCAGACTTGTTTGAAACTATTAGAAAACACTACCAGGTAATCAACATTGCCGTCATTACTATAAATAGAACGCATTGGTAAAAGCAGTAAAAAATCCTGATGTTTGTTTTATTTCGAATATCACCAAATGTCACCTGACAAACTACTTTTCACATGACTAACAATATAACACTAAAAATAGGCAATGTGGCATCCCAATAAAAAAATCTTAATCTTGTTAAAGTCCATTTGGGACTAAACGTTAGGTGTAGGGGATACAAATAATTATGCCTTTTGTAATAATTATGGCTAATGTCTCCAACTGCGGTCATAATCATTACTGACATAAGGATAGTATTTCTTTATTTACAGGTGGTGACCACTGCTTGACGTTTGCATATCACATGTTTGGAGCTAATGACATGGGAGATCTGAAAATATCAACTGGAGTTACAGTCCCTGACAATGAACTGTTCAAAACATCTGGTAACCACGATGACCAGTGGAACAAGGGAATGGTTACATTTACTACAAGTCCTGGAATGAAGGTTCTCTAAGTTGTTTTATTGTCAATCATTTCGAATAATTTTTAAATGTTTTAGAACTATTTTGATTTGTTATTGAAGTTATAATAAGTTTGTAAATTATTTAATAGATATAAGAAGATGTGGTATGAGTGCCAATGAGACAACTCTCCATCCAAGTCACAATTTATAAAAGTAAACCATTATAGGTCAAAATACGGTCTTTAACACGGAGCCCTGGCTCACACCGCACAGCAAGCTATAAAGGGCCCCAAAAATTACTAGTGTAAAACCATTCAAACGGGAAAAACCAACGGTCTAATCTATATAAAAAACAAGAAACACTTATGAACCACATCAATATACCTATATACGATTAAGTGAATAATTTGAATTAAAACGACATGTGCATTAGCTGTCGAATTCAATTTCATTGATTATAGGCAAATTCTCATATTTGTTTAATTACATACTAAAACGTCTAGTATACAAATTACAAAAAAGTCCTTAAGAAATAATTTACAATGCATGGACTCGTTACAACATGTTTTGTGTATTTTAGAATAAATGCCATCTAATTAAACATCGAGCTGATGTCCGTAAAAGCCTTTAGGTTATATGACTTGATGTAAACATAATTAGTAATATAAATACACAAACAAGCACGTGTCATCAAATAATTACGTTTTTTTTTCTATTTCAATTTGATTTCCAAGATTAAAAAAATATGTAAATTATCGTTTTACTTGTATTTCAAAAATTGTTTTGTGAGCAAAAATAGTCAACAAAAGGGATCTTCCCCCTTGCAGCCTTGTTTCACTTTTTTATGTCTTTTCATTTTTTGATAACTTTGAATGCTAAACCCATGCATAGCCGATCCTTGTTAAGGTTTAGATTTATGTTCGCATGAATACGGATTTAAATAAGTTCAGTTATCGACTTGCAAGCAAATAACCAGGATATCATTACCCTGTCGACGCACCCCGTCTCGCTCCGTTCGGAGTTCATGTTATTCTCATTTTGCTTTGTTGCCCTGCTTTGTCCATTCCTAATCAATTTACGAGATTTGAAATTCGGTAAGCTACTGTCGCCTTAATTGATTATTCATATGTCAATTTACTTATCGTTTAAAGTCTTGAGAAGATATCAATAAATTTAAAAAAAAAAAAAAAAAAAAATTAAAAAAAAAAAACGATATCAGCATCACATTATTTAAAGGACCAAAAACACTAATGATATGTTTGGCACATAAAAATTCACTTGTTAAATTAGAGTTGGCATGATAACATGAGTGTTGAGAGCATATTTGTTGTTGCTTTATTCTATGTACCAATAGAGTTTGTTCTTTTACCAGCTTGTGTTATAAATTACCAGAAAACGTTTCCCCTGAAACTGCAAATGTAAATGTAATGAGACAAGGTCATCATTTGTTTATCAATTAGCATGAAATTATATTCCGTATGTATATATATATATATATTTTGAGCCAAGACCAATAACTATGAATTCAAATTCTTCATATGTATTTTCTTTTTTTCTTTTGCAGTTGTTCGTTGAAGCTAATAAAGGAAAAACATGGAAGGGAGATATTGCTATCGATGATATTCAACTAAAAAGTGGGAGTTGTGATGGTAAGAGTTTTACTTAAAAATCATCTCTATACTCTAAGGTAGAAATTACTTCCACAGTGTTAAACTGCACAAAACATTAAAAAGATAAGAAGTATGGTTAAGGTTCAATATACGACAATAAGTATAAAAGAGAATTGACAAAGCTTGTCGATTCTTATATTTTACCATTGCACAAATTCAAACTGCTTATTACGTATTTATATATTTATATAAATTAGTAGTTTCGTCTGGAAAACATAGTTATCTACTACTATTAGTTGAAAATGGGCATTGCGACATTGACTGTGAGTTCTCTTCAACCAATACTATGCTGTCGTTTGTCTTTCTGTAAGTCGTTAATGTGCTAAGTAGCTATCTGTTGTGTGAAGCTCTTTTAAATTGTTTAGCTCACAAAAAATATATTTAACCCTGTCCAAAGTCAGGATCATGTACATAAATGGTTGTGGTTGGTTGCTGTCTGCCATGACTGTTTTTGTAAGGTCTAGGTTCACATAAGGCTTGATATTTAGACAGCTGTGAAAATATCGAATTTCTGTTGAATATTTTATGTTTTTCATTGGTTGCATGTCATCTAAACCCACTTTTTTAACACGAATAAAAATATTCTTTTGAGTTAAGACCTCTCTTGTGGACATCGCAGCGATTCTTACTTCTATTTTATATAAGACTGTAGAGTAGATGGAAAAATATTTTATTCGTGTTTTTGTTCTACAACCTGAAGTCGCGTACATTATTTGCTTGCCAAAGTTTATTGCTTTGAAGCATTATCTTCGTAAAACTTCAACCAAATCATAAGAAAAATCGATATTTGTTTTAATAAAAATGCTTACCATGCTATAATTTATCCTTTTGATTTCCTACTGGTACGTAGAAATTATTACTAGAATTAGTGTCTGATATAAATTGACGTAAAACAATTTAAAATTTTGGTATTTTTAAATATTGAGACAAGCGTATAAATGAGATAACTTGACGGTTCAGTTGAAGGACTGTTATGATCAATTTTAATTGATTAATATCTTATTCTATTCTATTCTTATTCTATTTCGGTCCCCGAGGGTATCATCAATTCACTAGCCAGTACTTCGGTGCTGATATGATTTATAACAAACCTTTCTTAAATTGTACGTTCATAAATTACAAAGAATTCCCTCAGGCAAAGTTGATCTTAGGTGGATTTTTAGGTCTTTTTTCATATAGCTCATCCGCTGTTTCGGTTGATATACATTATACTTATTCAGAAGGAATATAGTTACGTTACTGTTGTCAGGTCATTAAATATGACATTTTTCGGAATAAATATTGATTCACTCATAGGGTCTTTGCATCGAAAATAAACACATTTATTCTGAAACCAGTTGTTGTCATAAAACGGGTTATGTTCTTCTCGTATATTTTATTATGGTATGAAACTAAACCCCTAACGGGAGGGATTGTGCTTTTCATATGATGACGACATAATCTTTTAATCAGTTTAAATGAGGTCTGGAGCTGCCATGTCAGTAACTACTAGTAGTCCTTTATTAATTTATGTATCATTATCATTTTGCTTAGTTTCTTCTGTTACCTATTCTAAGATCGGACTCGGACTTCTTTTAAATTGAGTTTTACTATGCGTATTGATAAATGTTTATTTTACATTGGATAGAGGTATAGGGAGAGAGCTGAGATCTCACAAAACATGTTTAACCCCGCCGCATATTTGCGTCTGTCCCAATTCAGGAGCCTCTGGCCATTGTTAGTCTTGTATGTTTTTTCAAAAAAAATTAATAGATATAAGAAGATGTGGTATGAGTGCCAATGAGACAACTCTCCATCCAAGTCACAATTTGTAAAAAGTAAACCATTAAAAGTCAGAGTACTGCCTTCAACACGAAGCCTTGGCTCACACCAAACAGCAAGCTATAAAGGGCCCAAAAATGACTAGTGTAAAACAATTCAAACAGGAAAACAAACAGTCTAATCTATATAAAAAATCGAGAAACGAGAACATTTATATGTTTTGGAGTTTAGTGTGACGTCCATTTTCGCTGAACTAGTACATATTTTTGTTTAGGGGCTAGCTGAAGCCCGCCTCCGGGTGCGTGATTTCCTCGCTATGTTGAAGACCCATTAGTGGCCTTGGGCTGTGTTCTGCTCTTTTGTCGGGTTGTTGTCTCTTTGACACATTCCCCGTTTCCATTCTCAATTTTATCCTTTGCATTCAAATATTCGGCTTTGAGCGTTTCTGGTGAAGGTATTTGTAGAAAAGCGCTTCAGATGCATGAAATTTATAACGTGTTGTTTTCTTAAATTTTTAAAATAAAATCCCTGTATATACATCATCACAGATGCAGTTTTCAATTGTGAAATTTCACCAAATTCTGATAAGTGATGTAGGAGGAGAATTGCTTTTTGAAAAAATTATATACAAATGAATTGACTTAAATCTTTAAAGATTTATGAGGGGTACAAGTTTGATATCTTTCCAGATTGATCACGAAGTACAAGTTTGTTATCTTACAGATTTATTAAGAGGTAGAAGTTTGATATTTATACAAATATATCAGGATTTACAAGTTTGATATCTTTACAGATTTATCAGTAAGTTTCAGATGTGAATTTGAAACTGATGCACCGTGTATTTTTAAGGATTCCTCACAGGAGGATTTTGATTGGACTCGACATTCTGTAAGTTCTTTAAATACCTGGTTTAAAGTTTATTTTCAGATCAAATAAGCATTGGAAGAACTTTATAATGGGTATCCACGCCTATATAAATATATTTATACAGTTATATGGCAGTTTATTAAATTACATACATACCTCTGTGTTGACAGTTTTATATCCTCAGAGTTATAGAAATTTCAATATTAGTTCCCCAAAATTGGACAGTATGAGTATCAAGACCATTTGACACTAACACCTAAAAGGAACATAGCTTCACATATGATAAACATTTTTCTATTGTTGAAGAGTTTGTGTTGACTTGTCAATTAGAAAATCTCCTTACAAAGTGATGTTAATTTTGTTAATACATGAAAAGAATGATATAGCATAAGTATCTAAGTGCAGAAATGCCATTTAATGAAATGTCACTATGATGTCATAAACAAGACAAAATTTGCACACAATTGTTAAAAAATAGCCATTATAAAATAGTTTTTAGTATTCTAATCGAAGCAACAGTCCAGAAAAGACATTTAACTCACATCAAGATCTCTGTATAAAAAATGTCGTCGTAGCAAAATGTCTTTTAGGATAAGGCCATGTCTATAATTTTGATGATAATTAGTAGACTTTGAAATGAGGCGATGCGATGAATTCGGTTTTGTCGAAAACTCAGTAATATTTTTTTTTTAGTCATTTATGTTTAAATTCCCATTTGTTCATCGTATTATTTACTCTGAAGAGTTGAACTAGGTTTATTGAAGTATATTATAAAGTTTTCTCAGTGCAAAATGAACGTAGATAATTTCAATATGTGGAAGTTCATAGTATAAAAATAACTGGGAAGAGGATAAGTCAATACATAATGTTTTATAACAAATTTAAAAGGAAACGAATTTTAAGTTTAAAGGACCGAAGCCCAGAAGCTCCATAATTTCCCCCCAAAAAATCATTGAAATTATAATTAATCGATAAAAGTAATCTAAAGATTAAGACTGAATTTCAATAGAAAGTGGACAAGGCGAAAGTCTAATGCACACATCTCTGATTACCTGTTTTGATCCATTAGTATAAGTGGATATGGTGAAAGTTGAATACATACATCCCCCTTGACCTGTTTTGATCAACTAGTATGATATTTGTTAGATTTATAATCCGTTTTGATTTTCAATTCAAGGAGCCAAAAAGGAATGTTCTCATTTAATATTCTTTTCAATATTGGAAATGAAAAAAAGTATCAGTAGATATACATGACACAACGATATCATAAAATAATTTTACCGGGATAACATACAAAAAATAAATGCATAAATACAATTAACATTCAAGAAATATCAATAGATATACATGACACAACGATATCATGAAATGCTGTTAACGTACAATCAGAAAAGATAAGAAGGATTTAGACTAAAGATAAATTATACGCTACAATCTGAACAATGTATTTTTGTAGATGATGTTTTAAGCCTTAATGATAAAAATCATCATGAACCACTCCGCTTTGAGCAAAAAATGAGTGCTGTGCTCCCTTTTACACACATACACGATGACGCCTTTCGAGAAAATGTACCGAAAAACATCTTTTTAGGGATTTTGTTGTAAGAAAGTATTGTTGTAAATAAAATTTGATATCATTTAGATGATGATTTTTAGTTGACAACCCCAAGTTCAGGTACTGGACCCGAGAAAGCAGCTGTTGGAACTTATTACATATATACAGAGGTGTCATCCCCAAGAGTGATTGGAGATAAAGCTGTGCTCACAACTGAAGCTACTAACTTACAAGGTAGGCTCTTGTTGAATATATATATTTTGCACTGAGATTTTAAAATATAACTAATAGAGAATAATAGGCACAGAAAATTAAGAATATCGAAAAAATAGCCAAAATATTAAGTAATACAGAAATGAAGACATCCTATACATACCCTCATGTATTTTGAAATGAATAATTTTCTATCACATTGTTATATAAGGCACATATAAAAAAATTAAATGAATTCAAACTATTTTGACTGGGCAGTATTTTAGTATTCTTGAAAGATGGATTTCCCGCTGATGACGATTCCTAATGTCGTTCTATTGAACATTCCCTTTGTTATTTCAGTTACTAGTTGGTGTCTGTCCTTCCAGTACCATATGAAAGGGAGTGGCGTAGGAACATTAGAAATATTTGCTGGGGATAAAACAGCCTCTTTGACAAGTATTTGGAAAAAAACTGGAGAGCAACCAGATTCCGACCAATGGAAAACTGCTACTTTTGACATACCACAATTTACTAATCCTGTAGTAAGTATTTTACTACTGTTGACAACTGCTAAACCACAATTTAGAAATTATGTTGTATGTATTCTATAACTATAGCTTCATGAGCTTTGACATAGCCTTTTGTATGTATTTTGTCAATAGTAAACACTTCTCACTTCAAGGCTATTCCAAGAAATGGTAACGTATCTCAGAGACAAATACTCTCCATTCAGGGTTACGATTTCACCCAAATACTAGCAATGGAGCAGCAAAGGAGTGTTTAACCCCTGGTAAAGTTAATGTCATGACCATTTATATCTGACTATACACTAAACGTTTTTCCTATTGTTGATAACCTATATTTGCTTAAATCCACTTCATTTGGACTCTTGTAGATAAATGACTCATTGACACTCATATCCCATCTCCCTATTTTATTTCCGTGCGTTTATGGAATGAATACATTTAAGTTTACTGTAATTACTTTGATGATTTTTATCTACTTACGTTTGATATTTAGATAAATGAAACATTAGAATCCCAGAAATTGTCAGTTTTAGTTTAAAACAACAATTAAGTTTGATGAGGCTCAAGATTGACATTTCCAAGTCCAAGTGTTTAACTTGAAATTGTAGCATAAAATAAATATTAGCGTGACAGTGCAAGATTCTATTTATTGTCTCTAAAAGTTTATCTGTTTAATGATACAGTTTTGCTCCGTTGTGGATAATGGTCGGATTCGTAACAATGATTAGAGAGAAGATTTTACATTGTGATGTCTATGTTGTTCCCATTAAAAAAAAAAAAGTAAAATCACAAAAATACTGAACTCCGAGAAAAATTCAATCGGAAAGTCCCTAATCACATGGCAAAATCAAATGACAAAACACATCAAACGAATGGACAACAACTGTCATATTCCTGACTTGGTACAGGCATTTTCAATTGTAGAAAATGGTGGATTGAACCTGGTTTTATAGCGCTAAACCTCTCACTTGTACGACAGTCTTATCAAATTCGGTTATATTTACAACGATGCGTGAACAAAACAGACATTATAAATAAAATAGTCAAAATATTGGTATAAAATGTCAGTTTACATACTTGGCTTACCAATATTAATACAAAAATGTAATGCTTAGACATTATTTTAATAAAGTATTTCAATTTAAAGTTGTCTGATTTTTATTTAGATCCACAAACAAAATCCGTTTATACAGTAAACATTTAATACCAATTACATCATACATATAAAAAAAATTCATACATGAAATATTGTTAAAATTATGAAAAAAAATATATTTCTTAATGATTTTCTTAACATTTCTCAAAAAGAAATTATAACATATATACCAAACTCCAAGGCAACTTCAAAATTGGGAAGTCCATTAAACCTGACAAAATCAAACGCTATCACTCATCGGAACAAGTGAAAAACAACTGCCATATTCCGGACTTTGTAGAGGCATTTTCCAAAGAAAATGGTAGTAACAATGCTTCTAAAATAATTCAATATTGCAACAATTAAATAGAAATGGCAACCATTCCATACCTTGATTGATGAAAACATTTCTTTGCTTTGGTCTGTATTCAATCTGATTGAAAAACAGATTCTATGTCCACACTTACAGTACGGGTAGAGACTTATTACTATAAATAACGGACTGGGACATGTCGGAAATGAATAATCCGACTTTTTTATGGTAGGTAGTATGGTCATTAATCAACAGATCCAGGTGTGAACCGTAATATAATTGTCCTTTCATCTCAATCCGTGCTACAAGATAATTACGCTTCACTGATTTCAGAATCAGGTTACCTGTGATTTAAACCTCTCAGTCACTTTATTGATTAGTTCTACATCGTATTTGACATAAAATATTTTTACAGGTGAAGTACTGGAAACAACTTTGTTTTAATAAAAATAGCCTATTTTTTAATTATGGCTTTTTGTATTTCAAATGCTGTTTATATTCCTCAAAATATTATTTTCTATGTTCCCTGTTTTTTTTTGTTATGTATGTTTTTCGTATTTGTTGGCATACAGTTTTTAAAATATTTTCTCTTTAATTTCTGGAAGGTTATTTTTGTTTTACTGATTTATTTTCCACGTAAACCCATTGATTAGCAGAATGATGTGCAAAGTGCTGCTGCATACGTTTTAGTTTGACAACACTACATTTGTATTTAATTTTCAGTCTGCGTTGGGTCAGTTCTGAAATAAAAATAATTACAGTGAGCAATAATTGTATACTAGTAGTTAGGTGATTCTTTATAATTGTGAATTTACTTTTTACTGTAAACAAATATTGTCCGAAAGTTGGTGATATATAACTAAAGTAGTACGCAAATAATAACACTAGAAGAAGATAACGATATTTCTCGTGGATTAGGTTTATTTTGATATTTCTGTGTTTGTTAAATATGCATGAAATAATTGCCACTGACATGAATGGACATTAAAACTAGAAGCATTCAATCGTTTGATGACCAGTTAATTAAATATTTACTATGATTTGTAGTCTTAAAGAAATGCAATTTCTCCTATTTAAATAATTTTATGGTGCTGCATTGACTCTTAATTGCATAATATTAATTTACGCACAATGCATGTTAACTTGTATGTTGTATTTTTGACACCAATCTAAAAAAAATATTTGCCGTGAAAAGACAATTCCATGATACACTTATCAGTGATCAACAGCATGTGGTTGAACTTTGAACTTGACTTCACTCACAATACAATGATGAATGCTAAAAATAGCTGGGATTAATTTTGTCAAATGCACGTGATTTTCATATGGCGGGAAATATCGTAACAGTTAACACAGGTGACATTACTGACCGACCGTGGGAAAATCCATTCATGATTTAATTTGATACGTAATGATTGGCAGTACTGTGAGTTAGTTTTGAGGCTCATGATCGAGATCCATTAATAATTGATTTACCAGAATAGAAAATTTAATCCTTGTAATTATAAACAAAACAAGCTTTAGTCTTCTTTAACTATTTTATTTATTATATTTATTAGTCAACACCCAGATTCCTATTTAAATAATTTTCGGACACCTCCTTTAAAGTTCGCGAATTATACAATTTAAACTGCCGACATCAATTTACAAAATCTTACTGACTGCACGAGCTTTAGAGAATGGCTAGAAATACGACGCAAAAGTAAAGACGGCTGATCGTGAATAGTGTAAAACTTTGATTTTCATGTATTGATTGACACAATTCGTAAAATATGTTTATAAAAAACACGATTTTCATTAAAATTTCAAACATGAAAATAGAAAGGCAATATCTTTGTTATAATACAACGAGTGTCAACAAATCTGTTATTTCCATTATATGTAAATTTATTAACAAACAAAATTCAAAATAATGCTGGATAGTAGAATATTGACGTGCATATGAAAAGTTTTTTTTATATAAAAACTAGGAATCGAAAGATGATCACTGCGTTATAAATATTGTAAAAAAACAATTGTTTCAAAGAGATTAACGGGAAATATATGTCAAAATAGAAGCACGGATGATCTGGCTGACCAAATTGTTTTACTTGCGAGAAATGATTGACTGGTATGAATAGACGTAGAGGCTCCGACGGGGAACGTGGTATCGAAAGGAAAAGAACAGTTTATTCACAATGCCTATATTCAATTTGTTTATATACTTTATAAATATGATATGTTGGCCTTAGACTTAAAATTGTGTTTCTATTAATAACTTTAAGGAACAGGACGTTAAAAAGGGGAAATATTGTAACCATCAACGAAAACTCGTATAATTTACGGGATTGATGTCTCAACATTTTGATTAAAACTTCGATTGAAAACAGTCCTGGTTGTTATGATTTTGAATAAAATGAAATATTTACGGTTTACAAATACAAATACAAATAGTTTATTGGCACAAACACAATTATTATAATTGGCAACACATTTTTACAGTACGTACATTGTTAAAAATCGTCTTTCTTTCATTTTCAAGTTAAAAAAAAGTTGATCCCATATTCATGATATTACATTTTTATTTTTATTGTAATTTTTTCTTTGAATACAAAACAATATTTTACATTTATTATCTATCCTCCATAATACTAAAATATCTATACAGGTAAAATTTAATTCTAATCAACCTGGTACAGATTGATTTACGACCTTCCACTCAGATATTGTACAGGTTAATATCACAGCAGGTGTTAATTACACTGAGACAACTGTCCGGCCAGTCTGACATCTAGACGGATTAAGACACCATAATAATAAGTCTCTACCCGTACTGTATCTTAGCTTACAAGGATCAGAAAACACTCCGTTTTACTTTCTGTTCTGGATATTATTACACCAGCCAATGGCATTTCCGACATCAAATTTTTAAAGGTGTGGATCATCACGACAAAACCAGAGGATCCCGAAAAGTCCTTAAAACAGAAAGTAGCACGAAGCGTTGCCAGATCATTTTTAGCAAAGTGTGAACACATTTGTTGAAAAATTAGATTGGTCTGTATTGATAAATAACCAGATAAAAGTTCATTTACAATTTCAAATATTAAAACATATTTCTGATGTTTTACTCTTTCTGTCAATGGTAACCGCTTCACTTATTATTATTGTAATAGCGACTGTATGTTAAAATATCATTTGCTTGGATTTAGGTATTTCAACTTGTAACAATAAAGTCTCTAAAGAATTAATAATTCAGGTAGATTTTTAAATTAAATAAATCCTTTAAATAAACTTATCATCAATCTTTTTAGAGATGTTACACTTTTTCCGTTTAGAATCAGGTTTTCAAAAGATTTCAACATATTTAAACAAATCTATATATCTTTTGGTTTTAGTCTTCGTATCTGTAAATTCTTCATACTTAAATCAAATGGATCTGACATTCAGGCATACGGCATTACACCTTTTAAGACAATTTTTGTAGAATTCTACGTACAATTTTATTCTAATGTATCTCAGTTTGATACAAAAAATTAGAAGCATATCGAATGAGTTTTAAGAAGTATTGATTTACTTTGTTTTGAGTTTCTGCCTCCAGATTGGGATACATAAGTTTTATCCTACCATGCAGAAGTTATAACAAAAATTGATGGACGATACAAAAGGAATATTCAATCTCATCAATCGATGACCAACTGACAACGTCATGGCAGAAAACGAAATCGAAAGACAAACCGTTGTTATAATGTAGGCATACGAGCATATCTCTCACCATTGAAAATGTTCACACTAGTTTGTCTATTATCATGCTGTTCATTCTATTTACTTTTGTCTTGGGAACAAATTTTGCGGATGAAAAACATTTCTTAGCTAACTGATTTATGTTTCTGAGTGAATTAATGGTATCCTGATTGTTCACGTGAATTCTAATCTGATTAAAGAAAATCATACCCCTTTGCTTACAAGCATTTGACAACGCAACTTCTACTTCCTGGTTCCAAGACCTTTCATGATCCTCTTTTATTGTTATAATGATACACATCTTCAAAAAATTGTAGGCAGAAGTTGCATTGTCTGATGTATTAAAGTATAAAAAGTGTTGTAGGTCCTTGTAAGCGAACCTGTATTTCAATCAGATTGTATGAATTCTATCACGGGTTTTACCTTCTGAAACACTTATTCACTTTATTCAAAATACATGTGTCATGAATTAGTTAGAAAGATATAGGTAGCCATGTTCATAAAGAAAAGTCTTCGTAAAAATCACTCAAAGTTAACGAACAATTTGATATTAAACGCAATTAATTTTTCAGAATATCTATAAAGTATACATGATTTATAAATATTAGTGTTGTATGGAATTTTACATAAAAGTGAAATGTACGAGCTTGAATCAATAGAAACCCTTAATGTCATAGAAATAATTATTAATGAATGATTTCAAACATTTCATCTGCCTTTTTTTCAGATCACTATAGAAGGAAGCAGAGGTTCGTCATACCGTGGTGACATTGCTATTGATGATCTAACCCTCAGTTCAGGCGGATGTAGTAAGTACAACTCCATTTTGTTCATTGTCCTGAATATGCATGAAATATTCCCGACTTGATGTTTAGTTAATAATAGTCAATAAAACTTTCGGTTAAATATTAATATTTAAAGGGGACTATATGCTTAAATTAGAATACTTTTGGTTAGGATGATTGATTAATTAATTGATTGCTGTTTAACGCCACTTTCAGTACTATTGGTTATTTCGCGGTGGCCAATTTTGTTTTGCGGAAGAAGCCGGTGTCCCCGGTGAGAACCACCTAAATTCAGTCGGAAAACTGGCAATCCTTGTTAAAAAAAAAATTGGTGTTGAGCCAACCTGCCACGTGTGGGACTGAACTCATGACCACAGTGTTGACATGCCAGTGATGCATTAGATAGATAAATTAGACCACTCGGCCACCGAGGTTAAGGAAGTTTGTTGGTGAATTTTTATTTTATAACATTTTAATAAATAAAATTTACGTTAAAAAATGAAAAAAATGAATAAGTCTATACATACACGACTTTTTTTTATTTCCTCCACTGAAAACAAAGTTCCAAGACAGTTCCAAATCATCGACTTTGAATATCATAATGGCAAAATTAGCTTTTCTTCTAGTGATAGTGTTCTTTATTTGCTTAATAAATTCCACTGTTCGCAGTTAAAGAAGGTCTTTAGAAATATTAGGAAACTGTTTACTCGCGTAGTGGTATTAACCATATGTAGATTCGAAAAAATTCTATAGAACTTTTGGATAATTTTAAATCTTTGAGATTTATTGTATCAAAACCTTTGATTTTCAACCCTTTAAACCACCATTGCCCATGTGAAACTGAAAAAAAATAGAAATATTATTGCTTTTGGATTATGGCATAATTTGTTAATAGTGAACAAAAAGGTAAAACAAGCTACACCGAGGAATAATTCATCAATATGCTGGGGTTTCTTATTGACAACATATTTGTTGAAGAAGGAGGTAGACTTTTTCAACAAATTGTTGGCATTCCTATGGGAACGATATGTGCGCCTCTCCTTGCATACCATTCTTATTTTCATATGAGTCGGAGTTCCTTCAGACATATATCAAAAACAAAAAGATCAAAGACGCCAGATCATTTAATTTCACATTTAGATATATTGATGATGTTACCATTAGCAACGAAACTTGTCTAATTGTGTTCCATTATTATATCCTCCAGAATTGAAATTAATGAAACAACAGACACGGCTTCCTCCGTCTCAATTTTAGACGTATACCTCGAATTGAAATAAGCGGTCATCTAAGCACCAGAATCCATGACACAAATATGACTTTACTGCAATTCTGCGGTTATCAAACGTAAATCCGAAACACGATGTTTTTGCTACAAACAAGCGATAATAAAAACTGTCATCTTAAATGCAACATGTGATATTCTACTTGAACATTTAAATCAGTTGATTTTGTATTAATATTGGTTGTCATAAATGTGAGTATTTATTTCCTGATTAAAATGAAAAAAAAGAAATAAAAAAAGGCTACATATATATTATCATTGCACTTTATTAAATAAGCAGAATGAATAAGAAGAAATAACTGATAAAAAATGTAAAACAGTTGAATTGATCAAAAAACTTCAAAACTTATCTTTATAGAATTACAGCAAACTGTAAAAAAGGGACGAAAGATACCAGATGGACAGTCAATATATGATAAGAGCTCTCGAAGGTTATTGGTGCATATTTGTTTTATTCAGGAACATTCTTTTCGGTAATACGATTAACAAATTTGCAGGAAATCGTATATTCCTCCGATACAAATTTGCTGGAAGTTGTATGTTCCTTAATGAAATTTTACGAGAATTGCCGAAAAGAAACGAGATCATAAAGATTTTTATCGCCCACAATGTTGTTCAAGGTCTTTTGATACCATAGTGGTAGTTTTGCTCCTAACAGTCTCATATATATAACAGTTAATGTTTCCTCTTTTGTAGATACAAGAAATTAAACAGAGAGAGAATAACCCTGCATAATGACTTAATGATCATGTGATATAACAAAAAGAGATAGTCCTACATAATGACTTAATGATCATGTGATAACAATGACTTGTACTTGATCTTGTCTATAAGTTGAACAAAAAACACTCAAATATATATATATATATATATATATATATATATATATATATATATATATATATATATATATATTCATTTTGTAACTTAATCAAATGAAATTTCCATATCATATTCTTTGAGAACCCTATATTCGATATATTTACACTTTTTATATATAAGTATCGTTGATTTGGATTGGTTGATAGCTAGTGTGTTTCGCATGCATTGTCTCATATTGGATGCATTTTTTTCTTATTTAATCGCCATTTTTTACAAAACGATATGTCTTACCTGGTATTTGTCTAAATGTAACTATGTTTATCATTCATTAGAATAAAATCATCCTACATTGTCATAATGGCTAAAACGAATCTATGCAACACATCCTGCTCCAAAACACATTGACTTTACCAATGCAATAATAATTTTACAAGTGGTAATCTTTTACCACTTTTTACAGCTCTTATGAGAATTTCTTGTGTCTCATTTAGAAATGTTAATCTACGATACCAAGTATCAAGCAGAAAGTATTTGTCAACAAAATTTAACATGTAAATTCTATAAAAAATCGTAATATGATTTCCAGCTTCAGTTTCGTCGTTTGTAAATCTAAACAAATATTTTCTTCTGAAAATGTACACAGGGATATAAAAAAATAAAAGAAATTGATTAAAATTGTTTAAAATCTTAGTTTTTACCATGAAATTTATTCACACATGCATGACATATATGTATATTTTTTTTAGACGTATAAGATATATTCAGTATCAGTTAGTTAGTTTAATAAAATATTCATTAAACATTATTGTTTATTTAATCATACAATTTACTAGAAAATGTAATTTATAATTCGCATGTAATTACCAACCACTTATCTAAAGCGTTGTTGTGCATTTAATACATTTATTGATGATATCTTTGGTGTATTCGATTTTTGTTTTGAATAGTAAGATTTTTCATGACCTAAAACAAAGAATTTGTATCTACGATTCTAATTTTTGTAGAAAAAGCTGTGTGAGTTAATAGAGCAAGGAATTCTTCGTCAGTGTCTCATCAATATTTGGATTTACTTTGCAAGACATCGAATAGAATTTTCTGTTTTACTATGTTTTAATTATCACTGTTTAAACTATCATTTACATGTTTCCCCTTTTCAATTTGTGATTTGGTTACGTTTAAAGGTAAATGATGACTTATTGTATCCTCCAAAAGAAATAAACAACAATGCCTTTCAATATATAAATGGTAGCATACGCTATAAATTTATTGCCTTGGGATACCATACGGCATACTTTGTTAATAGTGAACAGAAAGGTAAAACATGCTACACAGAGGAACAAGTGATCAGTATGCTAGAGTTTCGTATTGAAAACAGATCTGTTGAATTTGGAGGTAGACTTTTTTCATCAAATTATCGACATTCCTGTGGGAACGAACTGTTCGCCTCTCCCTGTCGACCTCTTCTTATTTTCATATGAGTCGAAGTTTCTTCAGAAACTTGTCAAAAACAAAAAGATGAAAGAAGCCAGATCATTGAATTTAACATTCAGATACTGTGTATTAATTTTTTTATATTTTGCCGACGTCTGAATACAAGCCTATAGAAAATTTGTTATTCGTTGAACATTTAATTTCTAGGTTCACCTGTACCCACGAAATCCACGAAAATTGGTATCCAATGAATAATAATGAATCCACAGTATATTGATGATGTTCTTTTCATTAACAATCCAAAATTTTCTGATTGGGTTCCATTAATATATCCTTCTGAAATAAAAATTGAAGAAAAACAACAGACACGGCTTCTTCCGTCTCATTTTTAAACTCATACCTCGAATTTGATATAAGCGGTCAGAATCCATGACACACGAGTGGATTTTAATTTTGAAATTATAGATTTCCTCCCCCTTAGCAGCAGTATACCAACTTCTCCTGCATATGGGATATACATTTCCCAACTCCTTCAGTATTCAATAGCTTGCAGCAGACTTTATAAACGTCACTAGTGTCAAGAAATTGATGAACCAGGGTTATGTCAAAGAAAATCTAGTCCTTTTTCTAAAAAAGTTCATCGGAAAGTACCACGACCTTGTTGTCAAATAATACATTAGTATATATTTTAGGTACTGACGTTGTTAATCATCTTAATTACGTGTTAAAGTGTTCTCTTTATTTGTCTTTGTATTTTTTTTTACCTTTACTGTTGATTCCATTTATTGTTATATCCTTTTGACGTGGCTCGGTATTTATACCCCCCCCCCCTAAAATTGTGTTATCACAGTAGGTGAAGTGACCGGCTGGAATCGTGTTTTTTCTATTGGTTTGATCGGATTTTTTTCGAGTGAATATGATCAAAAATGTATATAAACCCAACATGAAAACATTGAAACATTTGAAACGAGAAAACTAACGACCTAAGTTATACAATACAATGTACGAAAAAAAAACAATTATGACGGACACGAACAAACAACAACCACTGAATTACAGGCTTTTGACTAGGGACAGGCATATAATGATTGTGGTTGGGTTAAACATGTTTGTAAACCCCCCAACTTTGAACAGTGGTGTTACAGCACAAAATAAGAACAAACTGTAAAAATCAGTTACAAATGGCTTTACTCAACAGATCGGTACGAAACACAGACAAACCAACTAACATAAAAACAATAGATACAAAGAATCTATATAAAAGGGCACTCGCGGTTACTGAAAGGGGTTTGGGGTTGCCAGGCCTCTTTTAGAAAAATTTTTGTGGTATATTGCATTTTACTGAATTCATAACTTCTGTCCCTTAGTTTTTTTAATCCTATTTTTTAAACTACAGGTGTAGCCACTGTAATATATATAAATCATAAACTATTATTTACTGTAAAAAGTATTGCAGCATGAAATGATATTGAAAAGATTATGAGTCCCTGTTCTCGGTTCTAAAGATAGTTTGTAAACGAATCCAGTAATTTCTATTATATCTTAATACTGCAAGGTTATGGTAAAATGATTCAAGTACAGAAAATTATCATTAAATTGAAAAGGGATAAATTTAATCAAAATTGTTACTAATTATAAATATATAATATTGCCCTTCGCGAAATTTCAGTTACAAACTAGAAAAAGTTAGTTTTTACGCCTTAAGAATGTCTTCATTTTTATTCACATTTTCCTTGAAAAACCTGGATCATTTGTTTAAAAACCCGGATGTTTTAAATGTCGCTCTCGAAAAAACACGGACAATGTAAAACACTGAATTGTTAGTGAACTCCAAGGAAATTGAGCGTCGTTTGTGCTCAAACATGTTTAGTATTCAGAATAAGATGAACAGTCATGAATAAAACATATTATATACTAGGCAAAATAGGAGAAAATTGATCTGATCACTCGAAAAAAAAACCTGACCTACACTCGAAAAAAAATAACCGACTCCCTCGAAAAAAACACGATCCCCGCCGGATAATATACCTACCGTGATAAGATAAGATAAGATAAGAAAAATTTTGATTCGGCATGGTTTAAAACATACAAACATAAGCTCTCGAGAGCTTTTCACCGAATATATAAAACAAAACACATAACATAAAACAGATATACATACACATACAAATATAGAATGAATATGATACACATGCAAGGCAATAAAAGCATACATATATAAGCAGAACATATAAGCACACATAAAATGAATAGAATAGCCATGCAAAGCAATCAAAATCATTAAGCACTATAAGCAACTAAAAAGTAAATGAAAAAATTAAAAACTATGAGAACAAATTTTAAAAATACTACTTCCATGCACTACATCAACATTCTGATCCATTCCAGGACTGAATGAAGCTTTTAAACTGGGAGAAGTAATTTTCAGTCCTGAAACGGTCAGGCAAGCTATTCCATAATGTAGGAGCTGCAAAACGAAAAGAGTTTTTGCCAAAAGAAGAAGTTCTTACCCTTGAAATATCCAAAATGTTTACCAGATTATTGAGACAAGAGGGAGCTAGATTGTTGAGAATTTTGAAAGTTTCCAATGCCATAGTCCTGATACGACGGATCTGTAGGGAAGACAGCTCAGCTCTCTGTAATAATTCCAAATATGACGAGGTGTCATTGTCAAAGACAAAACGAAGTGCTCGTTCCTGCACTTTCTCTAGTTTTTTGGTGTTAGTTTTCGAGCAAAAGTGCCATGCCAAAGGGCAGAAATTAAAGTTGCTTAAAATAGTAAATTTATTTAGCCTAGAAAGATATGGTCCTAAGAGTTTTAAAACACTGAGTTGCTTAGCTGCCTTTCTACAGATATTTCAAATATAGATGTCAAATGTTAGTTTATAGTCAATTTCTATACCCAACAATTTAACTATTTTTTCACAAGTTAATATTGAATTTTGAATTTCAATTGATGGGTTCATGTCAAAAGGTTTTTTTCCCAACTGCAATCATTTGAAACTTGTCTGGATTGGGTTGCATTTTATTTATTCTAAACCATTCTATCAGCTGATTTGACTCCAGTTTTAGGGTTGACATAAGATTGTCATAATCAGGACTTGAAAAAGACAAAGTTTTGTCGTCTGCATAATTATACAGCGAGCCATATTTTATAAAATAAAAAATATCATTTAAAAATACATTGAAAAGGATAGGGCCTAATATAGAGCCTTACGGTACCCCTTTATGAATGCCAGCCCAACTGCTAAGAATGCTTCTCATTTTGATTTGCTGTTTTCTACCAGTTAAATATGATTTTAGTGAAGAGACTGAATGTGGCTTAATACCATATGAGAGCAATTTTTCAATTAAAATTTCATGTGGAAGGCAATCAAAAGCTTTTGAGAGGTCCATTAGAACAGCAGCCAAATGATGATTTTTATCCAGGGCCTCTCGCCAATCTTCAAAAAGAATTAGCAGTGTGGTCTGGCACCCATGTCCCTTTCGAAATGCACATATATATGGGTTAAAAATATTTTTTGACTAGATATTATAGATAATACACTTACAGGTCTATACTTGGATTTTTGAAGCGTTAAAAGTATCTACTACCTGTTTTGTGTCATGTAGTATGTTGTAACCTTCTGCAAGTACTATGGTTTGGTCTCCATTTTCACATTTCTTAGATAAGAAGGGTTTTTTACATTTCCAAAAATCATGTGACTAAACAGTAAAGTTTAAAAATATGCGAAGACCAATAGAAAGAACACTATAACAAGTAGTTAAGATGATTAACAACGTCAGTACCTATCACATATATTTCTAGACCTTCATTTATTATTTGTGAAGTTGATACGGAATATTTATCAACAAGGTCTTGGTAATTGTTTTTTTTATAAAAGACGAGACGTTCTTTGACAAAATCCTGGATCATCAACTTTCGTTTCAGACACTGGTGACGTTTTATTAAGCCTGAGTAGCATCAGAAAGCTCTAGAATACCGAATGAGTTGTGAAATGTTTATACCATAGTATGCAGTTGAAGTTGGTATATTGTTGTTAAGGGGCTGGAAATTTATAATTTCAAAGTTGAAATCGTCTCGTTTTTCATAGATTCTGGTACTGATATGACCGCTTATGTCAAATTCGAGGTATAAGTTTTAAAATGAGGTAGAGGAAGCCGTGTCTGTTTTTTCTTTTAATAACTAGCTCTAGAGGATATACTAATGGAACCCAATCAGAAAAGTTTGGATTATTATTGAAAAGAACATCATCAATATGTCTGAATGTGATCTGGCTTTTTGATCTTCTTGTTTTTGACATGTGTCTGAAGGAACACCGACTCATATGAAAATAAGAAGATGTCGGCAATGATAGACGAATAG